ATACAAATATCTGGGCACACTGCAAACTGTATATGGTCCGTAGGCATTTTCTCAACCATATGTCACATTTTAAAAGCTCACTGACTAATATATTCATATAGCACACATACTACTAGGCCTGATGTAGGTTTTCAGACTACCATCTGAAAGCTTAACACCAGAACTGTTAAAGCAGTCTGTGAAATACAGGCACCCTATGAGTGGTTTCCTATGCAACCATTGGGTTGTCCTGGAAAACTGATGTTTTTCAGTTTCCAGTTGTGTTTTCCTATTATCCTTCTGGTTTCAGAACATAGCTCACACATATCAGGAGAATCTAACCATAGCTCTTCAACTGAAGGGTTTTAGGTATGAAGGGAAAAACTTTTAACCAATAAAGTGGATTTCCTTATTTGCCCTTTAAGGCCAGAAGTACATGAATTGAGACAACAATGTCGTGTTTTCTAGGTGATTTATTAGCATCAATCTTTGTTTCAGTTAAGATTCAAGTAACAGTTGAGCAGGGGAAGGGATTTTCATCATCCTCATCAAGACTCTGCCATGGGCTGAAGGAAGAAATGTATCATATTTGCCGTAGTCCCAAATGATATTTTCTTATGCCTGTATCTTTCATCTACTATTTAAAGCATAAAAATTAAGCAGTCACAGCCAATGTCAGGATTTAAATGTGATGTGTACTTCTAGTCATGTATGAAAATTCTCCAAATGATATGATACACAGCTAATCTGAAACACCTAAATAAAGTAATGCCTATAAACATGAGGGGAATGTGTAAATTAATAAACATTTAAACAATATTGACTCAAAATACCAAGTAGTTTTGAAATGTTCCCTCAATGAAAGTAGTTTCTTGAGCATGCTGGACTATGTCTCTATGCAAAAGATATTTTCTGTCCTTTAGGGTCTTCTCCGCATCCTTTTGAAAACGTATTATGTGTTACCTTAATTTTCTCCTTTTAACTCTGTATGTTGTCAGCAACAATCTCTTTCCATGGCCATACATATAATAATAATAATAATAATAATAATAATAATAATAACAACAACAACAACAACAACAAATGAGATTATATCACGGGGTTAGCAATATCAGTGTATTTTGCTTGGAAATTAATGTTCTTCAAAAAAAGCAAGTCCAAGGAGTTCAAATACAAATATGGATCTACACTTTATGACTAAAACATGCATCACTGATACAAAAACTTGGCACCTTTGCTTACGACAGAGGTGAGAACTGTGTGATAATCCACACGTTGCTGGGACACAAGTCCCAGCATCGTTCACCATTGGCTATCTATGCTGACTAGGAATACTGAGAGTTGAAATCCAGCAAAATACAAAGTTGAATAATTGCATCCCTAGCATTATGGAACACTTCACCAAAGTGGATCCTTGAGGGAGGGCCATAGAATCACAGTACAAGACTTTAACACAGCAGTACCACAAAAAGCACATCTTCAAACAAGTGCCACAATATGAATAGAAATGAAGATGATAAAAAGTCATAGCGAGAGGAGGAAAGGATAGCAAGATCCCAAGGTTGAAACCCATCCTCATGAAGTTGCTTAATATAGATATCAGAAAAGATACTCTGGATGTCCCAATTGCTAACTCAAGACAGTGGAGCAGGTAACATATGGCTCCATAAAAACAATATTCCCATATCAGGGTGGGAGGAAAATATGGCATAGAACAGCTGGAGAAATTCTTCCTTAAAAATGAGTGGAAAGACAATTGCTAAACAATACTTGTACCATAGAAGTCCTTGTGGATTGCTTGCATTTGAATTATGGAGACAACGTTCAATAAGCTGACTAGGCACAGCAGCAAACACATTATAAGTCAAATTACCAAAACACCCCCAAAAGCCAAATAATAATATAGTCCTCAGGATTCAAGACCAAGTAGGAATTATTGCACCCTGTAAAAATCATGAAGAGACTTGCAAAATGCTCAGACAATCTCCAAGAACAAAAAGCACGACTTCACAAGAAATTAGATATGGTGACCTGTGCCCAAAGCTTAACTTTTACCTAATAATATAGCACGCAAAAAGAAAAACCAGTCTCATACACACTTGTCCATCCACTCTAATATGAAAATGTCATGAGGTGGGCACCCCTATTTAACTTACTAGGATACCCATAGTAGTATATTGGTAGCTCAATGTCAGAGGTTGCATAGCTTACAGCTTGTTGTGCAGGAAAGATCTTAGTGCATTTGTGAACCTTCTATTGGGGTAATATTGTTGCTCCACTGGCTGCCGATAAGGTTCCGGTCCCAATTCAAGGTGCAGATTATGACCTACAAAGCCCTAAATGGTTCGGGCCCTGCTTGTCTTCAGGATTGTATGTCCCCCTCTGAAGAAGTGTGGGCTCTAAGATCTGCCAGGGAGGCCTTCTTGTTTCCACCACTGTCACAAGCACGGTTGGTGGCGACGAGGGAGAGGACCTTTTCGGTGGTGGCGCCCCGACTTTGAAACTCCCTCCCAAAGAAGATTAGGCAGGCCCTCTTTTCGCAGAGATTTGAAAACCTGGAAGTTCCAGCAAGTTTTCGAGAATGGTTAGTCCCCAGGCCCAGTTCCAGGTAGCCAGATAGCACTCTGTCCTGCACTTAATCCACTTCCCCAGCCCTATGAATTCCTGTTTGCACAATCCCATGCCCAGCCCTCTTACAGTTGGCCACGTCCATTTGTAACCCTGGCCATAGGTTTTGCTGAACCTCTACTGATGGAGCCACAATGAAATCAGTTTTTAATATTTCTATCTTTATTGTGTTTTAGAGGATTTTTTTTGTATTTGATGATGTTTTCAGTTGTTATTTATTTTGTATGTTAAGTTTCATTAGATTGTGTTATATTGTTGAATGTGTTTATCTTGATGTAAAGGTCTGTATGGTTTCTTGCCAGCAATTGAACATTTGCCTTACATGTTGGAAACCACCCTGAGTCCCTTTGGGGAAGATAGAGAGGTATACAAATAAAGTTGTATTATTAATACTACTATTATTGTTGTTGTTTAATTATACAGTACCATTAGTGTGTATGGCATTTAACAAGCAAAAGAAGATAGCTGACATCTAATTGGCCACAACTGGTAAAAACTGCAGGATTAGACAGGCTTTTGATCTGATCCTGCATGACCACTCTTATTTTCTCATGAATTGAAACCAGACAACCCACCAAGAGACTTAAGAGTACAATGAATGTAGTTCAGTCCCACTCAATGTTATGGAATCATGGGAGCTGTAGTTCTTATAAAGCATGCATGGGCAATTGTGGAAGTTAAAGACCAAAACACCTGGAGGGTGAAAGTTTGCCTATTCCTGTTATAAAGTATCTACCAAAGAGTGCTGTAGAATTAGTGCAGCTTGACACCACTTTGTCTGCCATGGCTCAGAATGAAGGAATTATGGGAGCTGTAGTTCTGAGACGCTGAGGTCTTGTGTTTTATTGCTTTTATTGTTTTTATATGGTTTATACTATATGTTAATGTTTTATGTTGTTGGGGGCATTAAATTATGCCGATTGTAAACTGTCTCGAGTCGCCTTCGGCCTGAGAATTCAGTATACAAATATGGTAAATAAATAATAAATAAAGTCTTCGGCTTTCTCTGCCAACGAGTGCTGGTGCCTCATCAAACTACAACACCCAGGATTCCATAATACTGAGCCGTGGAAGTTTAAGCGGTGTCAACCTGCATTAATAGAACTATGTAGATCAGGCATTGGGTCAACTTCGGCCCTCCAAGTGTTTTGGACTTCAACTCCCACAATTCCTTGGAATTGTGGGAGTTGAAGTCCAAAACACCCGGAGAGCCAAAGTTGGCCCAATGCCTGATCTACACTGTAGAACCGACACACTCAAACACCACTTAAACTCCCATGGCTCAGTACTATGGAACCATGGGAGTTGTATTACAATGAAGTGTCAAGCCGCATAAATAGGACATTGTAATTCCAAGGTTCTGGTGAAGTTGAAGTCCAAAACACCCAGATGGCTGAAGTTTGCCCAATGCCTCATCTACACTGTAAGACTGATACACTCAAACACCACTTAAACTCCCACATCTCTGTACTGTGGAACCATGGGAGTTGTAGTACAATGAAGTGTCTAACTGCATTAATAGGACAGTGTAATTCCAAGGAATTGTGGGAGTTGAAGTCCAAAACACCCGGAGGGCCGAAGTTGGCCTAATGCCTGATCTGCACTGTAGAACCGACACACTCACTCACCACTTAAACTCCCACAGATCAGTACTATGGAACCATGGGAGTTGTAGTACGATGAAGTGTCAAGCCACATTAATAGGACAATGTAATTCCAAGGAATTGTGGGAGTTGAAGTCCAAAACACCCGGAGGGCCGAAGTTTGCCCAATGCCTGATCTACACTGTAGAACCGATACACTCAAACACAACTTAAACTCCCACGGCTCAGTACTATGGAACCATGGGAGTTGTAGTACAATGAGAGATCTTGCAGTTCCCCTGATACTGGAGCACTGAGCCATGGCAGGAGAAGGGCTCCTTCACTGTCTGCCCCTGGGCCCCGGGCCCGAAAGCAGACAGAGCCCCAGGCAGGCACCTTCCTCGCGGGCTGCGTGTGTTGGCCGGAGACCTGCCCCTCTCCCTTCCTTCCTCCCTCCCTCCCTCCCTTCCCGGGGGCTCCAGGCTCCTTCTGCCCCGATCCCGGCTGAGGCGAGGCTGGAGCTCCCTTCTGGGCCCAGCTCCCCGACCCACCTGGTCCAGGTTCTCCTCACTGCCGCTGTCCTCGCTGTCGGAGTCGATGAGGACCCGGCCTTTCCGTTTCTTCACCATGACGCCTCTTCCTCCTCTTCAGGGCGCTCCGCTCCTCACGGCCGGGCCTTCACCCAGCGAGGGATCCTGCCTGCCTGCCTGCCGCCCGCCCGCCAGCCAACCAGCCCGGGACACAAAGGGCACCGAGCATGCGCCATGCGCCGCTCCGCCCGCCGGAGGCGGGGCCAGCGCTCTGACGTCAGGCGGGGGCGTGGCCAAGAGGGCGACGATAGCGGCCATCTCGACGCCAACCGTCGCTTTTGAGAGAGCGAGATATATAGAGAGAGATATAGATATAGAATAGGCCTCTCGCCGCCGTTGTGGTCGGCGCCTTCTTGAACATTGTGGAAACACAAGAGCCCCTTTTCTTGGCTGTGGGAGGAGGCGTTCATTTTGAGTCCCGTCCCCCCCATAAACAAGGCCGGGCCTGGGCGGCCTTCTCCCCTCAGAGGCCTTTCTGGGCGAACAGAAAGAGGGAAGGGCACAGCAGGCTTCTCTGTGGCGACGGAGGCTTAGGCGAGGCCGCTGCGTCTGTCGCTTTTGAAAAAAAAAAGGGAGTTCGAACCCCAACGGCGGCTGCAGGCGGAGCGCTTCCTGCTGAAGGCGGAGGAGGAGGGCGGGCCTAGCGCGCGGCCCGGAACCTTCGGAGCGAGGCGCTTGTTTTCCTGAAAGGCGCCCGGACCGCTTTCGGGGTTGGACTCGCCGGCGGAAAACAGTCCCTGGAGCAGAGAGGTCGGGTGAGACAGTGCGCGAATGAACTAGAGGCTGGCTTCGGAAATGGCGTGTTCGGAATAATGAGTTCATTGCTTCCTTAACATATTTATGTTTATATTAGCCTTGACCGGGCATGACTCTTGCCTTCCAGCTCTCCTTCCCTCGTAATATAGCTCCCATTTCATTCTTTCCTTCTTCAATTCTTTTCCCCTCATACATCTTCCGGTAATAGTATAAAAGCTGGGTCCGGAAGCTCTGAGCCTTACGCTGTTTCCTTCGGGAGCGCTGTTTGCGTAACGCAGAACGGAACACTGCTATTATAGCAGGAATGTAAGAATTCTTCAATGGTAAAACCCTAACCCTTACCCTAAGCCAGGCCTGTAGCGATGGGGGGGGGGGGGGGGGGGGGGGGTTAGGGGTTCAACCCCCCCCCCCCGAAATGTTTCAGAGTTTTTAAAAAACCTGGTTTACTCATGAATTTTAACTGGTTAACCAAATCCCCACGCTAAGTCTATGAGATGCAAAAAATTAAGAGTCCCTCCAGAACTGCAAGCACTATCTCAAGGAAATATTGACAATTTTATTCACAGTCATTACTTGCAGCAATAGCCGATGTAGTGAAGCAACCAAGTTGTGTGTGTGTGTGTTGAATGCTCTCATTAAGGAGGCCAGACTTGGTGGAGGTGGTTGACAGGGGCGGAGCTGCAGGCTATTGAAGGCTGCTCTGCCCCCTGCTGTGCTCTTTGCTTCAGCATGAGCTAGGAGGCAGGTTTCAACCCCCCCCCCTCAAATTTTCAACCCCCCCCCAAATTTTCAACCCCTCCCGGAAATTTTTTCTGGCTACGGTCCTGCCCTAAGCATAACACTCAATCAGGGTTTGGGGTAGGGTAAGGGGTGATAGTATGATAGCTGGGTCCGGAGGCGCTTAGCGTTATGCACATTCCGCAACGGCAGTTGTGAATAAGGGAAGGGGGGGGGGGCAGACTGAGGGCGGGAATATATTCAGTTTGGTGGAAGAATAGAAAGGAGGGGAGGGTTTGGGGTAGGGTAAGGGTTAGGATTAGGGTTAGAATTAGGTTTACGGGTTAGGTTTATGGTTAGGGTAAGGTTTAGAGTTTGGGTTAGGATTAGGGTTTGGGTTAAGGGTTAGGGTAAGGCTTAGGACTCGGGTAGGGGTTTTACCATGAAAGAATTCTTACATTCCTTCTATAATATCCGTGTTCCTTTCTGCGTTGTGCAAACAGCACTCCCAAAGGAGTGAAGTGGAAAGAGCATAAGGCTCAGAGCTTCTGGACCCAGCTTTCATACTGTTACCCTAACAGTATGGCCCCGGTGGCGCAGTGGGTTAAACCCCTGTGCCAGCAGGACTGAAGACCGACAGGTCGTAGGGTCGAATCCAGGGAGAGCGCAGATGAGCTCCCTCTATCAGCTCCTCATGCGGGGACATGAGAGAAGCCTCCCACAAGGATGATAGAACATCAAAACATCTGGGCGTCCCCTGGGCAACATCCTTGCAGACGGGCCAATTCTCTCACACCAGAAGCGACTTGCAGTGTCTCAAGTCACTCCTGACATGAGAAAAAAACAAACAAACCCTAACCCTTATCCTACCCTAAACCTTATCCTAACCCTCCCCTCTATCCTTCCACCAAATTGAAGTATATTCCCACCTTCAGTGTGCCGCTCTCCCCTTCCCTTATTCACAACTGCCCTTGTGGAATGTGTGTAACACTCGGAGCTTCCGGACCCAGCTATCATACTATCACCTTCCAAGCCCGTATTAAATTCTTTTTTCTTCATTCCCTTTCGTCCCTTCTTTCCTCCTTTCTCTTCCTTCCAAACTAGGACCTCATCACACTAGAGAATGAATCCACTTTAAATCCAATTACTGCCTCCTGCAGAATTATAGGGTTTGTAGTTTAGGGAGGAGCCTTTAACAGCCTAACTTGTCCACAAGGACTCCCAAGATCTTTTTCATACGTACTGCTCTTGAGCCATGCGTCCCCCGTTCAGTATCTTTGCATTTCATTTTTTCTGCCTAAGTGGAGTATCTTGCATGTGTCCCTGTTGAACATTTTGTTAGTTTTGGCCCATCTCACTAATCTAAGATTGTTTTGAATTCTGTTCCTGTCTTCTGGGATATTAGCTATCCCTCCCAATTTGGTGTCGTCTGCAAACTTGATGATCATGCCTTCTAACCCTTCATCTAAGTCGATATAAATAAAAATGTAATGTTCGTTCGCCAAGGGCCTTTCTCCGGCCCGCGCGGCCTGTCCTGGCCGCGCACAAAGCCCCTCGCCGCTTGCATCAGTGGTGTTTCTCTCTCCCTCCCTCCGGAGCGGCAGAGCAGACGCCATTGCTCTGCAACAGAAGATCCTTGATGGTGAGGAAGGTGTCTGTGAATGTTGGAGGCAGCGCCGGGTGGGAAGCAAGCATCGCTTGGCCACGCCCACCCGGCGCCGCCGCCACCATTCACGGACACCTTCCTCGCCGTCAGCAATCTTCTGTTGCAGAGCAATGGCATCCGCTCTGCTGCGCTTCTCCCTCCACAGGCTTCTCCCTCCGGAGAAGCCTGTGGAGGGAGAAACACTCTCTGCTCTCCTGCGGAAGAGCCGAAGGCGAGGGAGGTGGGGATCCAGGCGCACGCAGCGTGAGAGGGAGGGGGTAGGAAGGGAGGGGGAGGAGGAGGCACGCGCGGCGGCGGCGGCACTGACGGGACCCAGGCTGCGGAAGCCAGAAGTTTCCTCCCCTCCCCTTCTTCTCTCCCTCTCTCTCTCTCTCTCTACCCTCTTTTCTTCCAGGGTAAGAAAGAGAGAGAGAGAGAAGAAGGGGAGGGGAGGAAACATCTGGCTTCCGCAGCCTGGGTCCCGTCTGTGCCGCCGCCGCCGCGCGTGCCTCCTCCTCACCCTCCCTTCCTACCCCCTCCCTCTCACGCTGCGTGCGCCTGGCTCCCCGCCTCCCTCGCCTTCGGCTGCTGCTGCTGCTCGGGGGGGGGGGAGGCGCCGTTGAGAGCGCGCGGGAGGGGCCACCCCACTCCACAGTTTCCCCCCTCCCTTCCCAGAGGTCCCGCGCGCACTCACTCCCTCACTTGCTGCGGTCGCAAGGAGGGAGGGCAGCAGCCAGGACGCCGTGGGGCCCTTCTGGAGAGACACCTTCCTCGCTTTCCATTATTTTCTATTGTTCATGTGAGTTTTGTGTACCAAGACTGGTTCAATTCCATCATTGGTGGAGCTTAGAATGGTCTTTGATTGCAGGTGAACTATAAATCCCAGCAAACACAACCCCCAAACACCACCAGTGTTCACATTTGGGCATATTGAGTATCAGTGCCAAGTTTGGTCCAGATCCATCATTGTTTGAGTCCACAATGATCTCTGAAGGCAGGTGAACTACAACTCCAAAACCAAATGACACTGCCCACCAAACCCTTCCAGTATTTTCTGTTGGTCATGGGAGAACTGCTGAGTCAAGTTTGGTTCAATTCCATCGTTGATGGGGTTCAGAATGTTCTTTGATTATAGGTAAACTATAAATCCCAGCAAATACAACCCCCAAACGCCACCAGTGTTCACATTTGGGCATATTGAGTATCAGTGCCAAGTTTGGTCCAGATCCATCATTGTTTGAGTCCACAGTGATCTCTGGATGTAGGTGAACTACAACTCTAAAACCAAAGGACACTGCCACCAAACCCTTCCAGTATTTTCTGTTGGTCATGGGAGAACTGTGTGCCAAGTTTGGTTCAATTCCATCATTGGTGGGGTTCAGAATGCTCTTTGATTGTAGGTAAACTATAAATCCCAGCAACTACAACTCCCAAATGACAAAATCAATTTTTTTTGAGTGAAGGACATACATTGTTAGGTGTCCAGTGGTTTTTGAGTTCTGTTAATCCCACAAACAAACATTACATTTTTATTTATATAGATTTATTTCCTATATTTATACCCTGCCCTTCTCCCCCTGAAAGGGGACTCATGCTTACATATTCCAAAAACCACTTTCAAAAAGACAGAAAATAGAATGTTTTCCTCATTTTAATTGGAACTATTTTATCTTCAGAAATGCTAAAACTATGCTTTATGTTCAGATTGTAACAATAAAAATACATCCTGCATATCAGATATTTACATTACGATTCATAACAGTAGCAAAATAAGACATGTGCAGTGTGCATAGAATTTGGTCATTGTTTTTTTTTTAAAAAAAAAAACTATAGTCCGACCCTCCAACGGTCTGAGGGACAGTAATCTGGCCCCCGTTTAAAAAGTTTGAGGACCCCTGATCTAAGTCATTAATAAAGATTTTGAACAAAACCAGGCCCAGGACAGAACCCTGCGGCACTCCACTCATCACTTCTTTCCAGGATGAAGTGCATTGATGAGCACTCTCTGGGTTCGTTCACTTAAGCAATTACAGATTGATCTAACCGTAGTTTTGCCTAGCCCACATTTGACTAGCTACTTCGTTATCTGGAATATTGTGTCCAGTTCTGGGCACCACAATTTAAGGGAGATGTTGACATGCAGGAATGTGTCCAGAGGAGGGCGACTAAAATGATCAAGGGTCTGGAGAACAACCCCTATGAGGAACACCTTAAACCCTGGCTTAACCTATTTTTATGAATTAGATTGTGCAAGATAACAGGTAACTTGAGAGTGACTATAGCTCATTATGAAAAATTGAAGTAATTTGAAAACCATTTAAAATTATTATTGTAAACACAAGTAAAATACACATCTCAATAACAATTCCGCGGGGTTAAGTAGAACAAAAAATGATATTCCACTTACGTTTTCTTTTAATTTGATATGTCCTACTTTCTTAACCTTACCAATTCTACACTTATCTCCCACTTGTACACAACAGTTTTTCTCCCCTCCCTCCCTTCTCCATCTTGTTGGTTTCTATTCCTCTTTGGCATAAATTCTTATATACATAGTAGTGACAGTTCTATCTTAATAAAATTATTGGTCTGGATTAACTACATGATAATGTAAAATTAGACATCTGCCCTTGCGCTATGCTTCTCTGCTGCTGAGTACGCATGCCCAGTGTGGAACACATCTCACCACACTAAAACAGTGGATGTGGCTCTTAATGAGACATGCCGCATTATCACGGGGTGTCTGCGCCCTACACCTCTGGAGAAATTACACTGCTTAGCCGGTATTGCACCACCTGATATCCGCCGGGAAGTAGCAGCCAATAGTGAAAGGACCAAGGCAGAGACATCTCCAGCTCATCCCTTGTTTGGGTATCAGCCAGCACGTCAACGACTTAAATCAAGAAATAGTTTTCTGAGATCTACAGAGACACTAGTTGGAACACCTCAGCAAGCAAGAGTCCAAAACTGGCAGGCTCAAACCCAGAACCTCAATCAATGGCTGATACCAAATGAGAGACTCCCCCCTGGGCACACAGAAGACTTGGAAGGCGCTGAACAGACTGCGCTCTGGCACCATGAGATGCAGAGCCAATCTTAAGAAATGGGGCTACAAAGTGGAATCCATGACATACGAGTGTGGAGAAGAGCAAACCAATGACCACCTGCTGCAATGCAACCTGAGCCCTGCTACATGCACAATGGAGGACCTCCTTGCGGCAACACCAGAGGCACTCCAAGTGGCCAGATACTGGTCAAAGGACATTTAATCAACTCTGTGTTTTTTTATCTGTTTGTTTGTTTTGTTCTGTTAGAAATGTAATACAATGGTCTGGTTGCCCCTGACACGATAAAATAAATAATTGTAAAATTTGCCATTTTGTACAGTTTAAACTTTCATTTACCTTGTCTTCTTGTACCTTGTTGGGAGATGGGGCGGGGTATAAAGTTTATTATTATTATTATTATTACATTATTGCTTTTATTCACCGTTTATGAGAATTTGCTCAACTAGCTGTACTTTTCATCTGACTTGGCAAAGATGGTTGATAATGATTCTTCAGGGGAGACTTGAATTGAGCAAATGGCATGTTTGTTATCACTTTCTTTTCTTTCTTCTTTTTGATAAATATTTATTGAGTTTTGTAATTTATAACTGACATAACAAAACAAACAACATTTACAAAACTAACGAACTGAACACCGTTTAACAATAACATACAAAAAACCCAGTATGACATTTTCCCTCTAACTTCCAGATACCTCAAGTGAGCATTCGTCTTCTTGTTTAAGTTGGAGTCCAGCAAAAAATACTCCGGTTTAAACTCAAATTGTAACTGGAAAATTTCTCCAATCTTTTTATATATTTCGTGCCAAAACTTTTTGACAGCTCCACAGTCCCACCACATATGTCCGAATGTGCCCACTTTTTTCCTCACATCTCCAACATGTTTGTTTCCCCTTGCTATACTTAACAACCTTCTCTGGTGTGCGGTACCATAGATAGAACATTTTGAACCACTTTCTTGAGCAGTGGTAATGGTAGTGTGGGTTCACAGGATGAGTAGATTCACGACAGGAGTTCCACTTTTTGATTCTACCAATTAGTAAAACCAGTATAGGTAAACAACATATTTTCATGGTACCTATTTGTTATTTCTCTAAATATTGCTTTAATCTCAAGAAATATTCTATGTCTTCTACTTAAGAGTGACTACCTTCATGTTGCGATGCTAATGCTGTCTATATATAACATGAGTAGCACATGCATTTTTAGTATAAGACTTCTTAAACTTTTTCCTCTTGCACCCCTATTTTGCTGGAGAAATTTTTGCATGACCCGGGTTCATAGGTATGTTAAATAGTTATACAAATCAAGTATTTACTGGTAATAAATCATTAAGAAATGTATTCTAAAACAATTCTTTGGTATACACATAATTTTATTACAAGAGAAAACCAGTTTGCAAACGAATGAGCTGGATGGGCCTATTTATTTTTACATAAAGAAGTAAATCTTGGCTGAATTTTTGATACTACAGAATGTATTATCATTCTTTTTTGGAATGCTCGGTTTTTAATCTGAATGAAAGAATATATTCGATTTTCTCCTGAACTGGGGCACGAGGTATTTTGGGGGTCTATACCTCCATCTTTAAGTCCCAGTTTGCAGAAGGCCAGGTGCCTGAAATAAATCTATACCCATCTCTCCCTTTGGTTCCCAACATCTCTTACAGAATCATAGAATTATGGAATTATAGATTTGAAAGAGATCCCGAGGGCCTTCTGTCCAGCCTCATTTCTGCCTTTCAGGAACACTCAGTCCCAAGGCCCTTCTGATAGATGGCCATCTGCTTAAAATCCTCCAGTGAAGGAGTATCAGTGAAAGCATATTGCACTGTCAAACTCTTGCTATCAGGAATTTTTTCCTAATGTTGAGATGTAATCTCTTTTCTTGGCATTTGAATTCACAGTTCCATGTTTTAGTCTCTGGAATAGTGGAAAACAGGTTTTTACATTTGGAAGTCTTGCTAATTTTGCTGTACCCCCACCCAAAGGAGTCTTGGGTGGAAGGAAGGTACAAGTCATTGAGTAGGAGAGGGTGGAAGGGAAGGGAAGGCAGGAGAAATGGCTTTGTAGCTCTGGTTTTTCTTCTCTTTCAACTGGCTAAGAAAAAGGCTCTGGAGGGAAAAGGAAGGAGGTGGGAATTTCCATGTAGTATGAATTGTTGGGAAGGGAAAAGGGAGGAGAGGAGGGAGCTGCTTGGCTCACCACCACTTTGCTTGTCTGCTTCTGGGCTCTTTTCAAAAGGGACCCGTCACAACCCCCCAGAAAGTTATGGAACCAGAAATTGGTTTGTGACCCCAGTTTTAAGAAGTAGGTTTCAAAAAGTAAATTAGTAAACATATTTTGTTTGAAAAATGTATTTCATTTCTTTTGTTACAGATGGAGACAAACAACATTAACCAGAAAGAGATACTAGTGCTTTTATTTAATCAAGAAAAGTTTGTTGGAAAGCTGATTTTCTAAGGCTGTGATTATGCTTTCATCACGTAAGGTGTTGGTCAATGTCTATATTTTGAAGAAATGGCACTGCAAAAATGGCGTGTTTCCTTTGTTCAGACCTCTTGTTGATGGCTACAGTCCCAAATGGCACAGCAACTATAAGAGACCAGGGACACCTCCTGACAAGACCCCACCATGGAAGAATATTCACTTCAGCTTTCAGAAGGGAATAGAAGGAATCAAGACACATTTTGAGAAACTATCAAAGGAAATAGTTGACCATGTAAAAGGGCCAGAGGGACGTCCACTATTGGATTATATGCTGAACCAGACAAAAGTCATTTGGGAGTTTCGCAGTGAAGAAGACTTGAAAAATTGGGTAATTTCTTCTGATGCTGAAATTGGAGGGAAAAGTGAAATTAACTTAAAATTGGGTAAGAATAACCAGTCTGCTGTGCTGTATGGGACCCTGAATACTACAGTACCTCGTGATGGAGAGACAAGGTACAGCGGCTATTGCTCCATGAGATCAAAACCACGATTGGTGAGTGAAATGGTAGTGTACTGTAACAGTTCCACATTTAAAATGTCACTTTTAGTTGTAGAGTTGATAACCTCCTTGTATCATATTTATTGAAGGAGAAAGTTATGTCAAATGGAAATCTATTTGAATGATTCTATTTTCTCTTATATTTTTTTTATCAATTGGATATGGGCTGATATAATCACTGTGTTGTAAAACACAATGGATTGTATCAATTTGGTATCTCCTGCAAATGGAATAGTGTTAGTTCAGTGGTGAGGAACAACCTTCCAGAGCAGATTTGGAGGTGATGTGATGGGTGGGGGTGGGGTGTAGGGGAGTGAAAGGAGGAGGAAGGCTTAAATAGAAGTTTGTTTGTATGATGTATTTGGAATTAAGTCTCGGAGTATGATGGAACTTTATAAAGTAAATATAGAAATGATTGAGATATTAAAGACTAGTTTACTGCAGATTACTGCAGATGCAGACTGTAGCCAGGAAATCAGAAGACGCTTACTTCATGGGAGGAGAGCAATGTCCAATCTCGATAAAATACTGAAGAGTAGAGACATCACACTGGCAACAAAGATCTGCATAGTCAAAGCCATGGTATTCTCTGTAGTAACCTACAGATGTGAGAGCTGGAACTTAGGGAAGGCTGAGCGAAGGAAGATCGATGCTTTTGAGCTGTGGTGTTGGAGGAAAGTTCTGAGAGTGCCTTGGACTGCGAGAAGATCCAACCAGTCCATCCTCCAGGAAATAAAGCCCGACTGCTCACTGGAGGGACAGATACTAGAGACAAAGTTGAAGTACTTTGGCCACATCATGAGGAGACAGGAAAGCCTAGAGAAGACAATTATGCTGGGGAAAGTGGAAGGCAAAAGGAAGAGGGGCCGACCAAGGGAAGATGGATGGATGGCATCCTTGAAGTGACTGGACTGACCTTGAGAGCTGGGGGTGGTGACGGCCGACAGGGAGCTCTGGCGTGGGCTGGTCCATGAGGTCACGAAGAGTCGGAGACGACTGAACGAATGAACAACAACAACATTAAAGACTACAATAACTTAATGTTAACCTCCCCCCCCCCCCCAAAAAATTGTTTTCCCAGCAGGAAAAAATCAGGTTCATGTATCTTGCAAGCCATGGCAAAAAAAAAAAAAAAAAAGATTTTACTAGTCTCAAACAATATTAAATGTAGTAGACTAAGATCTCAGAATTCTTGATACAGTCACAAAGTTCAGGGGAAAGGCACACCCTAAATTATACATATGAATATGTGAACTAAAGCAATCTCCCATACAAATAATCTTATTTAGATCAGAAAAATTGTATATTAAAGTGCTTGAACAATGAAAAAAATGGCATAGCGTGTAGAAAATGGTAAAAAGTCACAAGAGATATACTGTTCGTATTGTGTGAAGTTACATGAATCCCAGCCAAGGTTTTACTGCCAGGTAACTGTAAATAAGGTTGGCTCTTTAGTGCATTGTTGTAAATTTTGAAGTTTGAAATATTTTCTGGCTTAATCACTTCATTTATTAATTATATATATCTGTTATTATTTGCTTTCGCTATTCCTGAGATGGCAAAGAGGAGCAATCCACTACAATTCAGTTTAACCCTCATGTTTATATTGGCAGTCACTAATTCCAGTGAATTTAGAAACTGGCTACAGCAAACTGCTGTTCCCAACCATAAGACTTTATGACTGTTGCAAAATTGAGCATGGTTCTCCTAGAGAAACCAGGGTACACATAATCTCTCAGCATGAAAAATGATTAGGGCAGCTACAACTTTTTTCAGTACTATGCTCTTACTGTATGTACTCATATAAGTTTTAAAAAAGCTTTATTGAAATTGCCCCCCCCCCCCCCCAGATTGACCTATACATAGGTCATGTAAGAACAGGGATCCAGTGAAAGGCAGTGGCAGGAAGTACTCCTGCTCTTGCCAAAATAAAAGAAAGTCAACTTTTCCTTCTTCCTCACCTTCTTTGGCTTTAGCCTTAAGCAATGTGGGATGGCAGCAGCCATTTTTAATAAGGGTTTTCTGCATAAACTCTGCAGAGACCGTGGTGCCCATTTTAATAAAGGTGTGCATACTTTTACAGCACGTAAAACAAATCCATAATTTTGCCCTCAAAACCTACCCTCTGCTTATAGTAAAGTTGATGTATGCATGAGTATATATATGGTAGTTCTGGAACAGTAAAAATCTTAAGGATTATGCCCTAATGTTTCCCAGTTTGGGGAGAACACAGTAAATATAATGATTATGATGTTCTACTAGGATGCAAAATCTTAATGAGAAAGTCAAACTGGCATGGCAATAAGTTCTGGGAAAGAGCTAGAGTAGATTAATAGTACAGGCAAAGTATCTGCTCTTTACCATTCTACATAGTCAACTCTTGTGGGTCCTACATAGGGTGAACGGTGAGATGTAAATAGATATGAGTTTTTCAAGCGCACATTAGGACAGCATTAAAATTTTCAGAATTAAGTTTTCAGGTTGGGATGGGAAAAACTGAGTTTGACTAAATGTAGTAACTGTTGAAACGCTCAAAACAATATTTCATTTTGCTAGGTTGCTTTTGATCGAAAGAACCCATATGATTGGTCAAATTTCAACAGCCTGCATCTGCGTATCCGTGGTGATGGTAGACCCTGGATGATAAACATTTATACAGACCCATACTTCTCTCATCAGAAGGATGACCTTTATAGCTATTTTATGTTCACACGAGGAGGCCCTTATTGGGAGGAAATCAAGGTAAAACATTTAAAATAATTCATGATTTCCACTGGAAACCAATCAATCTCAGGGGGTAAATTTATTAAGCGACATTGTCATTGTAAGTTGTAGCTCTTCATTTAAATGAAAGCAAGGTTTTGGGCCAAAATGCAGACATCCTTGCATTTTAAAAGCCTTCAAGTGGACCTTTAGATGTTTCCAAATGCTTTTTTGTACATGCAAAGTTTGACCTGATGGAGGGTGAAAATGGTTTCCAAAAATAGTTGCTAATGATTCAAGGAGCACACTGCTCAGATCTGTACTGTTTCCCCTGTGTTATTTACCATCTTGTCATGTTGATTCTGTCTTGAATTTTCTCATAAAGTAGTGTCTTGGAAAGTATCTAGTTCATTAAAAGGTATACATGAACAAAAAGTCACTTGTTCAAAGGACAGATTTTTTTTTCCAAAATGAAACTTTTGTATTCTAGGTTTTATTCTACATGTCTTAAGAGGGGAAAATAAAATTAGAATTTGAGCTGGCTATCAGATAAGTAAGCTTAGAGAAACATACATAACTACAGTTGCATCTTTTTTCTGCAACATCTGCCAAATACTGGTTATATGGACTAAATTGGAAATTGTGCACTGGTTAGAGTTCCTGTATTTTAGGTACTGCTTAGAACAGAAATTCTGGAACACTTCAGGATTTCCTCCATACCTGTATGTAGGTTAGAAATCTTTGAAAATATGTTAATATGCTTGTTGTATTTAATAATATTGTATTGTTAAAGATTTACCACTGCTGTTAAATGCCAGATACTAGTACCGTATTGTATATTGATGTGATTTGGTCTGATTCCCTATCATAGTAGGTATCAATTCCTTATAGACAAATAACTTGGGTGATCACAAGTTGCCTCATAATGAGTGGGTATGTAAATATCTTATTTTGCTAACATGTTCCTGCTCTGTTGCATATTTATGTTTTCAGTTGTGATCAGTTAGCAAGAAGTTATGCTTGAATGTATGTATAGGTTTCAGACTATATGCAAGCTTTGTATTTAAAGTTTGGTGAACACTTTGAGACAGTTGCTATCATCTGTTTTGATTGTACTTCTTTCTAATGAATCCATAATTTATTATTTACAGATTCCATTTTCTAAGTTCTTTTTCTCAAGCAGAGGTAGAATCCAGGATCACCAGCATGAGCTTTTGTTAGATAAGGTATGTATGTGAACCTGCATTTTAATCTTGATACTTAAAAAACAGCTTCTAAATAATAATATGGTTAAAAATAAAAACAGAAATGAATTCATAGATTTCAGGATATTGGTGGCTTCTGCTTGGACCGTGCCCTGAATATTTGGCACAGTAATTTCTCCTTTCCTCATAATTCTTGGAGCTGGAGGAGCACTCAAGCAGGAGAGGGTCTTCATCAAGCCCAAGACATTTTCTGCATGTCTATACATATTTCCTTGTCTTGTTAAGGTTTTGAAAAACAGAAATTTCCAGTTTATCTAACATCAGTGCAAAAGTGAGAACTGCCCCTTTCTCTGCATTCTCTGTAAATGCAAGATAATTGGAGGGATCAGTGACAACCTAAAAAAACCCCTTTAAGTCAGTTTGTGGGGTCTGTTTTTGTTATCAGATCACACACCCAATTATACTGTAGCCAGAGATTTTTTAAACTGTAACCTGTAATCCAGGGGTCCTTAAACATTTTAAGCAGAGGGCTGATTCACAGTCCCCCAGACAGTTATGGGGTTGGACTATACTATGGGGAAAAATTAATGAATTCCTTCCTATGCACAATGCACATACCTTATTTGTAGTGCAGAAAAAAATGAAAGGACAATACGGTAATTAAAACGAGGAACCATTTTAACCACCATAAACTTACCAGTATTACATGGGGAAGTGTGGGGCTGCTTTTGGCTGATGAAATAGTCAAGTTATTTAAAATTGTTGTATGCCTTCAAGTAATTTCAGACTTCAGGCAAAAAATAAAGTTTAGGGCGGGGGCAGGTAAATGACCTTGGAGGGCCACATCTGACCCACTGGCCTTTGTTTGGGGGCCCTCCTCTAATCTAATTTTCAAAGTCCCCAAAAACATAGGTAGGTCTTTCGCAAATCCAAACCCCTTCTTCAGCTTTAGTCTATCAGCTCAAAGGAGGATTTGCCATTGCCTTCCTCTAAGTTTCAGAGTTACTTGTCAAACGTCATTGAGTGGATTTTCATGTCTGAATGGAGATTTAAACCCTGGCCTCGATTTATGAGTAGTGAAATTTGAGTATAACCAACTTCAAGTCGAATAAACATGCTGTATTGATTCAAAAGAATGGCCTTTATTAACTATATTTTTCTTTAACAGATTAGCACTTTAGGATTTACTGTGGGTGACAAAGTAGATGGTCCCTTCCAGCTGGAGATTGACTACATTGGATTGATTAAGGACAGAGCACATACAGAAGAATGTGCTTATGAGCTATATGATAGAAATCCCAAGAAATAGAGTGCATTGAGTATTTGGAAGACTATTTGCTCATTTGTTAATGACTGAAACCAGATTTTACACATATACCAAAATATATTGTTAACAGTTAAGATTATTTATCAATCAAGTAAGACAGATGTATTAAAAAAGAACAATATGAATCTAAAACTTGCTGTTTTGTCTGTTGTCTAATATATGTAAGATTTTTACCCAGGCATTTAAAATAATCTTTTAGGCTGCAGCCAAACTAATATGTAGTAAACAAACTTTGCAACAAAAAAAAAAAGGGGGGGGGGGAACAGTTCACTTACAACCTGTATTCTTACTAAATATGTACAGGATGACTGAAGCACATCACTGGAAAGAAAACACATAAAAATATTTACAAGGAAATTATCTGTATGAAAAAATATTTACAGCAGCTTTGGGATTAACTTCAAACAGCACTCAATCCTCTCCGAGTTCCAAGCATTTGGTCTTTTTTCTGTTTTCTCTCCTGTACAAGTTTCTGACGTCTCTCGTCTCTGTCAGTGAAAAATATTAAATTGGGTAAGTATTTCGGTTTCCATACTGAAAATGTATTCATAATTTTGGTGACAAAAATCAACCCATGTTAAAGAAATACAACTGAATTATCACTGGATTATTTCAGTGATATACCTAGAGTCTTTTTGGAAATGCTAAAAAGGAACAGGATGACTGATCAATAGAACACACACCCCTGAAACTAATACCGGCAGCTTCTTGGAGCAAGAGTTATCAGTAGCTGCTTGTTTAGATATATATATATATATATATTTGTCAAGCCTATTTGCTAAGTCAAATTATAGTCAAGCATTTATGCTTGTATCATATGATAACTAAAGGACTATTTTCAATTGTACTGGAGAATCATATTAGTAAGCATTAAATCATCCAAAAATACATAAATTCCAGGTCATATGTTTTTCAAAGGTATTCCTTTCTAAAAGGCTAGTACATGAAAACACACAAAGAGAAGAATCCCAAGGCTTCTCTTCTTCCTTCAAACAATTGTATTATCCCCAAGATTGGGACTAAAGGCAGCTAACAAATTAATTATCACAACAGTAAACAATATTAAGAGGGTCACTATTAAAGAAGAATCAAACTATTAAACAATTTAAAACACACTTTAAGCATGGTTGGACAACTATAGGAAGCTAAGGGTGCAATTCCAACCACCAACACCCCCATCTTTTTTTCTCCGAAATACTCCAATAAGGGCTGTGACAGGTAATTTTTTTGCTGTTTTTGGCACCCCCCTTTCCAGATTTTTAAAAGCCTTTTCTTGAGGGGCTCTAAAATATGCCAAAAGCATTTTACTTCTGTGGAGCTGCATGCTGGCTAGATCTTGAAGATCATTACAGTTTAAAACAGCACTACCTCAAATACTGTAAATTGTCTAAAAAGCCTTTCAGGGCAAAATAGCTTATGCCTACCGATGGAAGTACTTAGTAAAGAAAAGATGTGTTTTTATATACTTGCCTGGTCTGAAGAATTGGCTGTTTAACAGCTCTTTTATGGGGACAAATACTCTGGTTTTCCTTTGAATTACCCCAGGGTTTCAGTTTTCCTGAATGGCAGAAAGGTAAATGGGTCAAGATATAACAAGTATATTTTTCACATGCTCCCAAACTGCAACTGTTATCTAATTTAGACAGCAGAGCCAGTGATGAGTAACATTTGGAGAGCCCCTCCGATTTAGAGAAAAGGGTATATTTAAGTCTTGCCTACACAATATTCTGAAGAAATTAATTTTGCATGTATCAAGATGATGGTTGTGTGTGCCATTTTTCTTTTACAGTGTCATGTAGATGTTTTCAGCATCACTGATTCTACTTCTGCAAGAAGTACGGTATTCCCTCACTTATTGTGGGTGTTAAGTTCCAGGACCACCCACAAAAGTGAAAATCCGCAAAGCAGGGATGCGCTCTCTCTCTCTCTCTCTCTCTATATATATATATATACACAGTATATACATTTATTATTTTATTTGCGACATTTATACAGGCTTGAAAGGGTGTGTGTGTGTGTGTGTGTGTGTAAAATCTCAAACTTGACACCCCTCCTGCCTTTCTTTCCCTGCACGCTGCTCCCCCTTCCTTCCTCCCTCCCTCCATACACTCTCTCCTTCACTCACGGCTTGCCTCTTCCAGGGCAGGGTCTTTGAGAGGCAGGGCACCGGCAGCAGAGGGGTCACCAAGATAGGACCATGGCTGCCTTGCCCAGCTCCTTGCTCAGGCCCAGTACCACTATGGCAGTGGCAGCAGCAGGGAAGCCTGCTCAACACAGAAACCTGGGCCTGGGGCGACACATGGGAGCCCGGCAGGAAGGCCTCCTGCTCCGATTCCTCCTCTTCTCTGAGGCACCATAGGGAAATGTGGGACAAGTAAGGCCTCATCAGGGAAGGAGGAGGCAGCATCTATGCTGGAGCAACAACGGGTATACAGTGTTCCCTCACTATTGTATATTTTAAATTCATTTTTTTTAAAAACACAAAACAGCAAGTACACAGAAAGCAAACTGCAAAGTAGCGAGGGAACACTATACTTCGTGGGAGCAACAATGTGCTGTTAGGCATGCAAAGTTCAGTGTTCTATAATAGGTTGCATATGAGAAAAATAAAAATCCAGTTATAATAAAAATCAGAATCACCTTGGGAGGAATTCTATTTTGCAACTATTTTGACATATAATTATTAACTGAAATACCAATCTGCCTCCCCTGACTATTTCTTAGAGTTAGAAATACAGTTTCCAATACAAACATAATACCTCTGTGGGGCTGATAATTAAGAGGCCTTGACAGACTTGCTTGCAGATCAAATACTGGCTTTTTAGTGCTTGTGGGTTCTGCAATGTTGGATACAGACTTGAAAGGGGCAACACCTATAAGGAGACAACAATATCACTAAGCAGGATACAAGAAAATCTTTCCAAAATGTATTACTTAAATTGATTACTTGTTATCTGCAGCTATATAGTGAAAAGAAAAAAAATCTGCATATCTATTACCAGATTCAGGCAGTAGTAAGACTTTTAATACTGACAATTTTTTTAGTAACAGTATTTTTTAATTATTTACTCTATTTGTATCTCGCCTTTCTTTACCCTGAAGGGGACTCAAAGCAGCTTTACATATGGCAACTATTCAATGCCTTTGAATAACAAACAGTTAAAATACATTATGTTAAAGATTTAAAATTAAAAGCACATTAAAAACATAAAATATTACAATCACTATTAAAAATCACATCAGCCAAAATTGTAATCCAGGGCCGTTCCAAAAGTCATTGCACACAATTCTGTAGCTATTATTGCACTGTAGTTAATATCTAAAAAGGCTTGACCACAAAGTCAAGTTTTCACTTTGCTTCTGAAGGCCAGGAGAGAGGGAGCTGCTCTAATATCATTGGGGAGGGAGTTCCAGAGCCGAGGGGCCACTAAGGCCCTGTCTCTCATCCCCACCAGTTGCGCCTGTGACAGAGGTGGGACTGAAAGCAGGGCCTCAGAGATGGTTCATAGGAGGAGATACATTCCTGCCTCCCCTCCTTTGGCCAACGCAGATGAGCCAGTGCATGCACCCTCTTTCTGTACCATCCCCCTATGCATGAAACAAGGAGCACCCATGTGATTGGTCCTACACCCCTTGCCAGTGATTTCCTCCCCACAACACTAGTGTTATCATAGTGCCTGTTAAAAATTGTATAGGGCAGTAGAGAAGTGACAGCAAATAAAATAATCCATGAATGCTTAACGCTCAAATGCAGAGGGTCAATCTTATATAAAAAAATAAACTTAATTTACAAGAGTTTCTTTGAGCTGCTTTTAGTTGACACTTGGTTGCACTTCCTGTGATGTTCTTCCTAATTATTACATCTTCATTGCTCTTCTGAGTGTCTGGGGTGCAACCACTGAGGAATGGAGGTTTTCTAGAAGGAGTCTTGGTAAGGGAGCGTTTGTGCTCATTGTCCTTTGTAGACTCGGAGAATCTGAATAGAAACATTAACGTTATTTAATTGTACAATTTAAGAAAATTCTTAAATCAACTTCACCTAAAGTATACATTTCGATTACATCATTACTATACAATCACATCTGAGTTACTAACACTACAAACATTTTTAAAGTTATGTTATAAATTATTCTGAAATTTTGTTTCTATTGTTATAAACATGAATTTATACATTAAGTTGGATTCTCATATTATCAGATCAATACTACTTATTTTATCAGTTGATGCTGCCTATAGTGCAGATGCTGGCATGAATTACCTGACATTCGTTTTGGTGGCTGAGAGGCTAGTTGAACTGAATACTGATTTCTTAGATTTCTGAGATAAAATACTTTTGTTTGACGTGCCAGAAGAATTGCGTGGTGAGCGCCTTAGGATTGGTGTACATGGAGGAGAGAGTCTGTTCCTTTGATGATGGCATGGGCTAAATAAAACCCCACGGGAACGTACCTGCAAACAGGTAGTCCATTAGAACAATATAAAATCTGACCTGTATGATTTCAAGCAAAAGATGTTAGATCAATAAGGCCATCCTGCTTTAAATTTATTTTAAATCAAGGATTTATTCTCACCTTGGAACAACTTTTTGGAGTTTCTTTCTTGGAGGCCTTCAGATAATTGTTCTTAGTCAGCAACATTGTATATTATTTAGCATTTTATCATGAGCACTATTATACATCGTTTGAAAATGGATTATTTTTAGGGATCTTGTGGAAGCATAGAAAAAGTGTAAAATTAAAGAAACAGCGGGTCTGTCAACTATCAGTTTTGCTTCCTTGACCTCAAAGCCACATAAACTCTTAAGCAAAAGTCCTATGAAATCAGCATCACAGACAATTATCAATCAATGGGTATTATTCAGCCTTTAGGGAAGCTGTTCTTTACACCAAATTCTGAAACTGTAAATGGAAAGCAGCTGAAGGGAGGCAAAGGACAGTCAAAATCCCAAGAAAGTGAGATTGTCTTGTTTGTACATTATGTACAATAAGTATAATTCTATTAGGCACATGTTAATTCTATTAGCGTTGCTGTATGATGTTTCCCCTGTGTTCGGTTTTAATTTTAATGACACTCTGAAATTATATTGTTTATTATCTGATTTTTATTCCATTTAAATTTATTGTAAGTTTTACAAATATCTTTATTGTATGTAGCACTGCCTCTTGTAGCAGAGGATACAATTTATAATTCTAAAATAAATACAGCGCTTAAAAGGAACAAAGAAAATAAAGAATATAGAAACAAGTTATATTTCAAATACACCCTGTACAGATCATACAACAGGCAATTCAAAAATAGTTTTGTACTCTTGTGGAAAGAAGGGCTAAACATCGTGATTTCCTTAAAGGATGCTTACATTTGGCAAAGTGCAAACATGACTGAATGAAAGCCAAAATCCACTTGGGAGAAGAGATATTTTTTACCTTATCCTCCTTTACTGAATTGCTGATGTTGCAAGTCATTTTATTTTTCCTTTCAACGTAATCATCAATAGATTGCATTTTCTTAAACTGAGCTTCGTGAATTCTTTTAAAATCTACAAAATCAAAGGAGCATATTATTGGTATTTTGTTAAGGACATTGATAGTTTGTTAGTTTGCCTAAGGTTGGGGTTTCCACCAATATGTAACAAAATTCGGGGGGGAAATCTGCTCCTGGTTTAAAAGAGTTATTTCTTGTTTAATTGTAAGGTTCTTACTTTGAAAGTAGTTATAGAAATTTCGTTTTTGTGGCTGCCACAAACTGTTTAATTGGTTGAGGCCCTATGAGATATCCAATGAAAAGCTATAGCAAATGTGCTGCAGGATGTCCTGCAGCACATTTTGCTTTTTCCGTGTTCTTATAATAGAAGCAATTAGAAAATGACATTTACAACCCAGGAACAAAAATCGTGTTACATAGTGAAACGAAACAGTGCTACATACAATAACGATGTTTCACTTGGTATGAATGACCACATACCAAGACTCAATAAGTATGGTGTCTACTATAAATAAAGTAACCAGTAATAGTCTCATGCTCAGCAATGGAAGATAATACATTTTAAAATGGAAAACATTTGCAGAAGACTTAAATTATATATAGCTGTCTAAAACTAGAAGACACAGATTGCCATTTGTTTTCATATATGAAAAAACAAACAGAAATCACCTGAAAAAAATAATTATTTTATGATCACATGGTGGACATTGTCAGAAAAGGACTTTGGATCCTGTTTTTAGAAAAATGAGCAGTTTTTACAACTATTGAGTTGTAATGAGAAAAGGACCCCTTTGAGGCCCTTTTCTCATTATTTGTAACTTAAATGGTTGGAACTAAGCAAGTATTTTGAAAAATTACAAAACCAATTAATCCAAGGCTTTAAACAACCTTTTAATTTTTTTCTTACATCAGTTTATATTCTAGTTTTCCAACATCTTTTAAGAGACTGTTAAAACTTTTTGTAGTAAGAATCCCAAATACAGGCAGCCCACAAGTTGCTAATTCAGATATTTGTAACTCAAGGACTGCCTATATATGCATAATTCTCTGAAAATAATTTATGAAAACAGAAACAAAAAATCCCAAGCATGTAAATATCAGACATTTCTCATTATAACCAGATCTCCAAATTTGCAGGTTTAACTTTTGTGAATTTAATTTGATTATTCACAGATTGGATTAGGTCTTCCAGGGCAACTATATGGTCAAGTTTTTAAATGCCACTATTTTGCTTACCTCAAAGAACACCTAAAGAGGTGTTCTTTGAGGTAAGCATAATAATGGCATTTTAAAAAATTCATGGTTTTTTCCACTTTTATGGGGCTTCTCCACCTCTAACTGCCATAGTAAAGAATCTATTGTGCACTGTTATGTTACTGCTAGGATAGTGCTAGTGGCAGGTAAGCTTGCAACTTACTTGGAGTGGTAAGTGCTCCTCTTCTCCCAGATTTTGGCAAGTTGCCTTTGTAAGGTTTCTTTCCAGAAAGAGAGTTCACAGGAGTATCACCTCATATAAAAAGATTGGAGAGAAAGCTTTAAAATTGGTGGGAAACAACTTTCACTAGAAGTCAAATTTAGATCATTGGCTACAAAAGATAAAAATGCTTCCTAAAGTAAAAGGCAGCTTTTTAAAAAAAAATGTTTTAGATTTAGTCTGTTCTTGTAAGCCGCTCCGAGCCCTAGGGAAGTGGTGGCATATAAGTTTGAATAATAAATAAATAAAAGAGGAAGACTAAGCTATAGTTATAATGATTCAATAAAAAAGGCATGACCCTGAGCTTACAAAACGTGAGTAGGACTATGCAAGTCAGGAAACCATGTTTAAATATTTGGAAAGGTATAATATTGAGGAAGGAGCGAACTTGTCTGGTGCTGCTCCAGAGACATGGACCAGTTGATTCCAACTACTGTAAAAGAAATTCCCCCTAAACATTAGGCCAGCACATTAAATAAGTTCTCTCCTTTTTAGGAAACTATCAGACTAAAATAAAACTATAAAATTTTATTTATAAGGGCAAATTACTTTCAATTGGTTTTTGTCCTGGAGTAACAGACTCTGCTACCAAGTTTCCTGTCGTTTTGCTGTTGGTCAGATATTCATCTTGGTAAATTTCCAGTGTTTTTCCAGATCCGGCATTTTGCAATGGTTCATTTTCCTTCTGATCTTCCGGAATCTACAGTGCAAAATCAAGGGACAGATATATTTGAAGTCTAACATCTAACACAAGCTGATGGTGGCATCTCAATGGGGCAGCAAGTTCAATCAGTCTAAACACAAAAGATTTATAAATACTATACAAACAGCTAATCTGAAGTTCAGATTACATGCCAGAGCAAATTCAGCACCCTATTCTCATGGAAGTCACCAGCCACCACTGTTGGTATCTCACATCCTACTTCCACTATCATTATTTTCTTCCTTCACATTTAATGCAAACAAAATAACAATAATGCGCTATAACTGCATTTGGTATACATTACTTTTGATGCTTTCCATGGCAAATCAATAAGATCCATAGCAGGGATGGAACATGAATAATATAAATCTTATATACCAAAGAGTACCTCTTTCTTTGGGTGACATTCTGGTTTCAAGTCACAAACATTTCTAGACTTTCCAGTACCTTATGACAATTTGATTTTCTACGCCTTTTGGTAACCATGGACAGGTTGGTAGGCATTTGATTGCTGTCACTTTCCTCAACATCTGAAGCAGAAAAGGTCTCATTGCTGACCTATACAAAAGAAATTGGACATTGTTTTCTATTTCACTGTTATCAGTGAGGAAATGTAAAATGTAGTTAATCAACATTCAAAGAGCATTTTGAATTCCACTAATGGAATTGAACCAAACTTGGCACATAGAACTCCCATTACTAACAGAAAATACTGGAAGAGTTTGATGGGCATTGATCTTGAGTTTTGGAGTTGTAATTCACCTACATGCAGAGAACACTGTAGACTCAAACAATGATGGATCTGGACCAAACATGGCACAAATACACAATATGCCCAAATGTGAACACTGGTGGAGTTGGCGAAAAATAGACTTGGCATTTGGGAGTTATAGTTTCAAGGATTTACAGTTCACCTAAAATCAAAGAGCATTCTGAACCTCACCAATGACAGAATTGGGCCAAATTTCCCGCACAGATCCCCCATGGTCCTTTGGTATCCCCTCTGGCACCCCTTCACGAGCCCCCAGGGGTCCAAACCTCCAAGCTGAGAAACACTACTATCAACTAATACTAGATTTCATGCCCTGAGAATGACTGCAACAATTACGGGAAATAATTATTTCTTTGATCATTATAGCCAGTAAGTGAATGAGACATTTCAGAGGCAGAATACTATTAACTTAAAAAAAACCAAAAAAAAAAAAAAAAAAAACGGGAAATTGTTGGTTCTTTCTTAGAAACAAACTCAATAACAGTGGATTTTTAAAAATTGCATACCATACTTCCATTTTCCTGTACTTCTTCATGAAAATGTTGCTTCAACGCATTTAACAATTTCTCTGCCTGTTACAAAAATATTATAACACATTTCAGGTATGTGCAGTTATTTCACATTTTTTCAGTACATGAAATACAAAAATGTACTATTAAGTTATACAAATTAACAAGAAAAATGTTGTCATTAAAATAGCCAAGTTCAGCTTGAAATAGTAACAAGAGTATGAGAAATCTGTCTGCAAGATGAACACAAACATTAGGCAGAAACATAAATTAAGACACCTTTTACTTCCGCGTGGCCCATGGCAGTCTGCTAACACCTGAAACTGAATTCTATGTGAGGTTTTCATTACCGAGTTTACACAAAAGGAAATGTACAATATAGTCCTTTGCCATCCAAACGTAACATACTTTTTCTTTGCCATCCAAATGCAACATACTTTTTTCGAATATTACTCGTTGAGGAAAAATGTGACCAGGGGAAGCGGATTTAGGTGCCTCTTAAGACTAATTTTAGAGAAAAAAACATATCAGGCCTCTTCTAAACTGCCATATAATCCAGATTATCAACATAGATTATCTGGATTTTATATGGCAGTGTAGAAGCGGCCTCAGTTTCTTCTTCCTATTTAATGTGGGAAAGAGAAGGATGTTGGCTCATGCAGCTGTGGTTAATTAGATACACGTCAGGTGCTATATGACTGAAAACTGGATCTTTTAAAATTATAATGCATAGTTTTATATTTGATTATTTTTCCTTCCTTTATTTATGCATGTAAATGGTCGGTCCTCTGTATCCACTAATTCGGTATTCACAGATGGAAAACCTTAAAAAAAAACCCAAAAAGCAAACCTTCATTTTGTCATTTTATACAAGGGACAACATTTTCCTCTTTAATAGGACTTGAGAATCCACAAATTTCAGTATCAGTGAAGGCCCTGGAGCCAAACCTCAGCAGATACCAAGGACCCACTCCACTGTTCTTTGCTGTATTACTTTTAAAGCTGCCTATTCAGGGTATTTCAAACAATGAATATGAACAAAATCTGGCCGCCAGTATTTAAAAACTCTAAAATCAGGACAGTAAATAAAGAGCAATACTCAGAAAACTGGGGAATTACAGGCATAAAATAATCAGGGCCAGCTAGCTCCTCCTAACAAAGGATTCCCCCAGGTAGGAAGCAGCCAAGATTTGAAGCCATTCTATGCTAATCAAAGTGGCCAATTACAACATTCACACCTGCCTCAAACAGAAAAAAAGTAATTTCTCCCAGCCCAGACATTCCAGAGATATATAAAGCCCACTTGCCTAGCTTCCAACAGATTTAACAACCTCTGAGGATGTGGGCGAAACATCAGGAGAGAAAACTTCTGGAATGTGGCCATACAGCCTGGAAAACTCACAGCAACCCAATTTCATGCTTATTTCAACCCATTGCAATGCCAACATCATTAACAACTCTGAAAACAACTATTAAAAATAACCTTGTAGTGCCTAGCCATTTTCCAGTAAAGAAACAATGCATTTAACAGGAGGAAGAAATATGGGGACAAAAACTAGCCCAAACAAAAACTGCAGACCAGCTAACCAAAAAGCCTGAGGTGCACTGATTCAGAAGAAAACAATTTGCTGCCCCTTTGGACCCCAACAAGAGTTTCTAAGGTTCAAAATGGAAAATGGGCATCCTATACTTCAGCGGAGAAAAGAGGTTTCTCTGGAGACACACAAGTGGGCTCATTCCAAGTGGATCAGCCCAATAGTTGGGCGGTTAACAGTAACAAGAGGACAACAACCAAGCCATTGGCCTTCTTTGATTTGAATCCTACAAAGTAGAATGAATGCAGTTTGACACCACTTTTCCCGTCATGGTTCAGTGCTATGGAATCACGGGAGTTGTAGCCTTGCAAGGTCCAGAGTGCTGGTGTCTCACCGAACTACAAATTCCAGTTCAATTCCATATCAAACCGCATCACCTCAAGCTCCATCAAATCTCTAAAAAACCGAGTTCAAGACTTTGCTTAGAGCAAGCATGGGCAAACTTAGGCCCTCCAGGTGTTTTGGACTTTAACTCCCACAATTCCTAACAGCCTACCAGCTGTTAGGAATTGTGGGAGTTGGTCCAAAACACCTGGAGGGCCTAAGTTTGCCCATGCCTAGCTTAAAGGAACAAAACCTTCAGTTTCTTTGGTCGCGCCTACATTTTAGAATTAGCGCAGTTTGAGACTGCTTTAACTGCCATGGCTCAACTATATAGATTCATGGGAGCTGTAGTTTTAAAAGGTACCTCAACAAACTACAAATCCCGGGATTACATAGCACTGAGGCATGGCAGTTAAAAGTAGTATCAAACTGGATTAATTTTACAATGAAGATGTACTCTAAAGAGTTCTGCTAGAATGTTCCACCAGCTAATAATTTCCACAACATCCGCGCCTTACCTCTCAAGGTACCATGGCTATAGTAATTCAAGGGTGTGCACTAGAAGTCTCTGTCATTCTAAGTACCGTTCGAAACTCAGTTCCCTGAGGCAATTCAGTGTTATCTTTGTGCCATTCCCAGTAGAATCATAGTTGGAAAAGACCTCATGGGCCATCCAGTCCAACCCCCTGCCAAGAAGCAGGAATATTGCATTCAAATCACCCCTGACAGATGGCCATCTAGCCTCTGTTTAAAAACCTCCAAAGAAGGAGCCTCCACCACACTCCAGGGCAGAGAGTTCCACTGCTGAATGGCTCTCAGTCAGGAAGTTCTTCCTCATGTTCAGATGGAATCTCCTTTCTTATAGTTTGAAGCCACTGTTCCACGTCCTAGTCTCCAGGGAAGCAGAAAACAGGCTTGCTCCCTCCTCCCTGTGACTTCCTCTCACATATTTATACATGGCTATCATATCCCCTCTCAGCCTTCTCTTCTTCAGGCTAAACATGCCCAGCTCCTTAAGCCGCTCCTCATAGGGCTTGTTCTCCAGACCCTTGATCATTTTAGTCGCAGATAGCAATTTATAAATTCGTTTTCATTGGGAAACATAAACAACTAAGGGTAGACCTAAGTTCTCACCTTGAGATTGGCCCTCAGCCCCAGAGCCTTGGCCAGGGACTGCAGCTCGCTGTACTTGAGCGTCTCCAGCCGCTCCTCCGGGGGAGAAACCTCCATGACTGGGCGCCTCCAGCCACCAAAGGGAAGGAAAGCTCCGCGCCCAACTGCCGCGCCTCGGAGCCCCTCGCGCGCTCTCCCTTCAAACCTTCACTCGTCGCGCGGCATTGGTTGGACGCTCGCGGAAGAGGGCGGTGCCTGAAGGAGGCCCGTGGCCAATAGGATGCCTTCGCGTGAGCCAGCGAAACAAAACAAAAAGGTTGGGGTTTTTTTTTTGTTTTTTTTTCCCCCCAAGCTTCTCGTACATTTTCGGAAAGAGAACGGAAACAACCGAGCTCCCAACCCTTCCAGTTGGCGGAGACCGATCCTCCGGGGGTTGGGAATAAAATCAACCGGCGACAAAAGCATGAATGGGTTGCTGTAAGTTTTCCTGGCTGTATGGCCATGTTCCAGAAGCCTTCTCTCCTGACTTTTCGCCTGTATCTATGGTTTGTTGTTCATTCGTTCAGTCGTCTCCGACTCTTCGTGACCTCATGGACCAGCCCACGCCAGAGCTCCCTGTCGGCCGTCACCACTCCCAGCTCCTTCAAGGTCAGTCCAGTCACTTCAAGGATGCCATCCATCCATCTTGCCCTTGGTCGGCCCCTCTTCCTTTTGCCTTCCACTTTCCCCAGCATCGTTGTCTTCTCTAGGCTTTGCTGTCTCCTCATGATGTGGCCAAAGGTTGTAAGGAAACTAGGAAAATGGGGTTTATATATCTGTGGAAAGAACAAGAGTTCTTTCTTCCAACCTTTTAGTCCGGGGGTCCTCAAACTTTTTAAACAGAGGGCCAGGTCACAGTCCCTCAAACTTTTGGAGGGCAGGATTATAATTTGGAAAAAAAAAACATGAATTCCTATGCACACTGCACATATTTTAGTTCAAAAACCACTTAAAAACAATACAATAATTAAAATGATGAACAATTTTAATAAATATAAACTTATAAGTATTTCAATGGGAACTGTGGGCCTGCTTTTGGCTGATGAGATAGGACTGTTGTTGTTGTGTGCTTTCAAGTAGTTTCAGACTTAGGTTGACCCTGAGCGAGGGCCAGGTAAATTACCTTGGAGGGCCGCATCCAGCTCCCGGACCTTAGTTTGAGGACCCCTGCTTTAGTCTTTAGCTTTCTCTCCCAAACTGTGCTTGTGCCAGCTATCACCTCCCAACAAAGGATTCCCCTAGGCAGGAAGCGGTCAGGCTTGGAAGCTACAAGACCATTAAATACTAATCAAGGTGGACAACTGCAGCATTCACACCTGCCTCCAACAGTATCAGTGAAGGCCCTGGATCCAAACCTCAGCAGATACCACACCGCATTTTAGATTGCATACCTTTGGCAGGTCCAGTGTTGTTTTATTTTTTAAGGCAGTCTGTTATTTCAAACAATGAATATGAACAAAATCTGGCTGCCAGTATTTAAAAACTCTAAAATCAGAACAGTAAATAAAGAGCAATACTCAGAAAACTGGGAAATTACAGGCATGAAATAATCAGGGCCAGCTAGCGTTTCCTAACAAAGGATTCCCCCAGGCAGGAAGCAGCCAACATTTGAAGCTGCAAGGCCATTCTATGCTAATCGAAGTGGCCAATTACAGCATTCACACCTGCCTCAGAAAAAAAGTTAGTTCTCCCACATTGGACATTCCACAGATATATAAACCCCACTTGCCTAGCTTCCAACAGATCTCACAACCTCTGAGGATGCCTGCCATAGATGTGGGTGAAACATCAGGAGAGAATGCTTTCGGAATATGGCCATACAGCCCGGAAAAATCACAGCAACCCAATGATTCCGGCCATTAAAGCCTTCGACAACGCCAAAGCATAAATGTAAAAAAAAAGCTGAGTTAAGAGGGCCAGGCTTTCAAAAGGAAAGGAACCAAATCGCCACCGTTTTTGAGACCAAATCAATCGCCGAGAGGCATTTCAAACACAAAGCTGCGCAACTTAAAATCAACACAATGAAGCCTTCCCAAAACAACCAGAAAGGAGCTGGGATCCAACGCCCACCCACGTGACTTTGAAACCGAATTGCTGCTTTTCACACCTCATTATCAACATCGAGAAAGAAAGCCGAATTCTAGGAGAATTGCGGGAAGAGGTATAAATGCATGTCATGTTTTCCCTTTGGAAAGAAAAGGGGAACTGAGAAGAGTTTCAATAACCCGGAGTCCTTGTTAAGAAATGTATACATATAAAAACACGCGCGCACACAGCACAAGAGAGTACCAAAATGCCAAAGGAACACGTGAATGTTGTGAGCCGCTCTCTCCTCTCCAACCGAGTCTGCAGGCGAGAGAGAGAGAAAGACAGGCCTCTGCGTGGGAGGTCAAGTGCCGAAGAGACGTTGGCTTCGGGGTCTGTCCGGGCCACGGAAACGTCCAAAGAAATCGTTTGCTTTTAAACCGCCCGCGCCCCCGCTTTGTGTTATAATCTTGAAACCCGATTGGGTCAAGCCGCAAGATAGGCGAGTAGCTCCAGCCAATGGGCGAGGAGAAGGCGGGCGCGTGCTTAACGAAAGCGGGGGATTGGGTCAAACGGCAACGTGGGCGGGCAGCTCCAGCCAATGACGGTGGAAGAAGGCGGGCTCGTGCTTGGCGGGGGATGAGGTTTGAACGTTTGGCGGAAAACAAGATGGCGGTGCGTCGGCAACTGCAGCTGCTCTTCCAGGAGCCCCGAGTGGGTGGCGGTATCATGGTGGAGCGGGCAGGACCTGAAGTAGCGAAAGGCCCCGGCCCGCCGCCGCCGCCAAGCAAGAGGCCTGAGGGTGCCTGGGAGCGGCTCCCCGGCTTTCGGGGCCTGAGGCCGGAGGACTGCGTGCTCTACCAATGCCGGAGTTGCCGCGCCGTGCTGGGGGACTCGCTTCACCTGTGCGCCCATGAGGAGAAGCTCCGCCTCCTCGCCTGCTTCAGTGAGTTCGCCTAGCTCGGGGGAGCGGAGGTTGGGCGCATCCTCGCTACGCCAAGTGGGGACAACCTGTGGTCCTCCAGTGTTTGGGACTCCCAACTCCCAGAAGCCATTGCCAGCCTGTCCAATGGTCAGGAATTCTGGGAGCTGTAGTCCAAAACACCTGGAGGACGAGTTTGGAACTCACTTGAGTAGAATGAATGAATCAGAAGTGATGGGCGTTGTTATTCAATATTTATTTATTTATTTATTTACTTCATTTGTATACCGCCATTCTCAGCCCTAAGGCGACTCATAGCGGTTAACAACAAGCAAAAACAAGGCGAACAATCAAGGCAAAAATTCAATGCGGCATCAACAAGGTACTTAAAAACAGTTAACACAGAAACAAATTAAACAATTTAACAGTAATAAACATTCAGTGGCGTCTCATAACTAGAATCATGATCCAAACTCGTCAGTCGTAGTTCCATTTCCTGAAATTCATTGCACTGCTTATTCAAACGCCTGTTCAAATAACCAGGTTTTCACTTTCCTCCGGAATAACATCAATGAGGGAGCCAATCTGATGTCCGTGGGAAGGGCGTTCCACAGCCGAGGGGCCACCACCGAAAAGGCCCCGTCTCTCGTCCCCGCCAGCCGAGCCTGTGTTGCAGGCGGGATCGAGAACAGGGCCTCCCCGGAAGATCTCAAAGTCCTAGTGGGTTCGTAGGTGGAGATGCAATCGGATAGGTAACTTGGGCCAGAACCGTTTAGGGCTTTATAGGCTAAAGCCAGCACTTTGAATTGGGCCCGGTAGCAAATTGGTAGCCAATGGAGCTGGCGCAACAGAGGGGTTGTATGCTCCCTGTGTGCCACCCCTGTTAGTATTATGGGGATCCAAATGGGCTAAAAACGAAAGGCAACTATGTGAAAAATATATCTGGCCCTCTGTATCCTCACATTTATTTATTTATTATTATTATTATTAACTTTATTTATACCCCGCTAACATCTCGCGAAGGACTCAGTGCGGCTTACAAGAGGCCAAGGCCCAACACATCAATAAAACAACAGCATAACAATACAACAATAAGTAAACTCATAAAACAAAGCAATAAACATTAGACAATAACACCACGACGCATTTAAAACTAAGACCGGGCCAAATGTAATGAATAAAATTAAAAAAATGCTGGACATGACAGGTGAAATGGATAGGTTTTTGGAGATAGGCGCAGTGTGCAGACAATCTTAAATCTCTAATAAAGTGCATTTGGGACATGATGCTAGGAGTTTCCTATTCTGGGAAGGCACACTGGAACAGCCACGTCTTCAAGCTCTTCCTAAACACTGCCAACGTTGGGGCTTGTCTGATGTCCTTAGGGAGAGAGTTCCAGAGTCAGGGGGCCACCATAGAGAAGGCCCTGTCCCTCGTCCCCACCAAACGCGCTTGCGACGCAGGTGGGATCGTGAGGAGGGCCTCTCCAGATGATCAGAGAGATCGTGTAGGTTCGTATACTGTATTTATATGCCGCGTTTCTCAGCCCTGGGTGGACTCAAGGCGGTTTACAACGTACTAATGGCAAAAATTCATTGCCAACATACAGTAGACAAATCATAATAACTAAGTAATTACTGCATATAACTATGTACTTAAAATCAACTTAAACCATTAAGCATAAATACATAACATTTAAATATTCAGACAAAGCATAAAATCACCCTAGTATAAACATTAGGCTATGTATCTCAGATGTATATGAAACATAAATGAATGTTGTGTTCAGGCTTTGGGTCTCATCTCCAAAATATCTCGAAATGTATCTGCATGTATTCCAAGATCTTTAAACATTCTTATTTAAAAAACATTGCTAGTCCCATGGATTTTGGATAGGAGTTAGTGAACCTGAACTTTATCTCTGTTCTGAGTTGCATCCAGGTACGGACTATTTTTAAATTATTATTATTATTATTATTATTATTATTATTATATTTATTATGTTTATTATACCCTGCTTTTATCTCAGGACAGGAGCCTTATCTAAAACTGCATTATATGATCAGTGTAGACTCATATAATGCAGACTGAACTGGATTATATGAATCTACACCAGGTTCTCCCTCCATGGATTCAAAGGCCCATTGAAGACAACTGTAAGGCTTGACACCACTTTAACTAATGTGGTTCTGTCCCCAGATGTTATTAAATGATAAACTTTTGAATATCTGCCATGCAGATTGGGGAAAATGGGAATTGCAACCCAACAGCACATGTGGCTCTGGGGTTGGAGAAAGGTTAAAGGACAAAGGTTAAAGTCGAATATCATATCCACAAGCCATATATCTAAATTCAGACACCATTATTCTGACTAAAAATGACAGACTGCAACCTTACAAGTGTTACTTTTTCACATTGAACATCAGCTCCAATCATGTCTAATGAAGAGGAATACAGGAGTTGTCATCCAGCATCTGGAGGACTACACAGAAAGACATGGCAGGCCAGATTTGTGTAGATTCACCCTCAAAAATATTCCCAGCCATCCTTGAAGGCTACCTCATTCCTACTTTGTATTTGCTTTGCTTTCCTTTTTTTTGTTCCTGGCCATCTAACAATATAAAAATAGTTCACCTGTTTCTTTTTTGTTCAGCAAATGTACTGAGATTCTTCTGCAGTCAAATTTCCTGTCAAGTGTTTAAGCAGCATGCAATGATTAGAAGGATACAGTTAGCTCTTCAGATCAGTTAATTTGCAGATTTCATTGCTGTATTTGCAAATTGCTGTATTTATGCCACCTCTTTTGTTCTACTCACAGCCAAAAACATGTGGTATCTTCTGTCTAGGCATTTGTGGGTCCCACAAATGGATAGAGCAGTCTTCTTTCAAGTAAAAAAGTAGCATTTGCAATTTATATTTGCATTTTCCCCACTTTGAGACTATGTGCCACTAACACCGGTAAATGTAGAGGAGCTACGATATATTAAGGGTATGCGAGACATCAAAAAACTGCCATTTTATATGCAATATAATTAAATCTGTTAGCAGAAAATTTGGAGTTTAATTTTTTAAAAATGTTTTTCGCTTTCAGAAGTCACAAATGATATTGTTGTGGAAGATGATTTGATGGTTTGTGTGGAAGGAGATCTTACTGGATGGTGGGTATTTCTTGAAATTATTCCTTCTCTTTTATGCATGCTAAATTAAGTGATTAATGCGATGTGCGGGGCTTGATGAATGCAAAGCTGGGGTGAAAATTGCTGGAAGAAACATTAACAACCTCAGATATGCAAATGACACTACTCTGATGGCCGAAAGTGAGGAGGAGCTGAGGAGCCTTCTAATCAAGGTGAAAGAAGAAAGCGCAAAAGCTGGGTTGCAGCTAAACATAAAAAAAACCAAGATTATGGCAACAAGAATTATTGACAACTGGAAAATAGAGGGAGAAAATGTGGAGGCCATGATAGACTTTGTATTTCTAGACGCAAAGATTACTGCAGATGCAGACTGTGGCCAGGAAATCAGAAGACGCTTACTTCTTGGGAGGAGAGCAATGTCCAATCTCGATAAAATAGTAAAGAGACAAAATTTAATTTTGTCTTCTCTAACCTGTCTTCATTCTTAGATCCTAGTTAGGCAGCTTGTTATTGCAAATATATATCAGTGAAATCATCCTAGCTTCCTTTGTCAATAGCATCAAAAGGATTTTAGGGAGTTGTTCAGGAGAACCAATCAATGTAACCTCTTTTCTACTTTCATAAAGTGTGTGTCTTGATAAAATAGTAAAGAGCAGAGACATCATACTGGCAACAAAGATCCGCATAGTCAAAGCCATGGTATTCCCTGTAGTCACCTACGGATGTGAGAGCTGTACCTTAGGGAAGGCTGAGCGAAGGAAGATCGATGCTTTTGAACTGTGGTGTTGGAGGAAAGTTCTGAGTGTGCCTTGGACTGCGAGAAGATCCAACCAGTCCATCCTCCAGGAAATAAAGCCCGACTGCTCATTGGAGGGAAGGATACTAGAGACAAAGTTGAAGTACTTTGGCCACATCATGAGGAGACAGCAAAGCCTAGAGAAGATAATCATGCTGGGGAAGGTGGAAGGCAAAAGGAAGAGGGGCCGACCAAGGGCAAGATGGATGGAAAGGCATCCTTGAAGTGACTGGACTGATCTTGAAGGAGCTGGGTGTGGTGACGGCCGACAGGGAGCTCTGGCGTGGGCTGGTCCATGAGGTCACGAAGAGTCGGAGACGACTGAACGAATAAACAACACAAATTAAGTGACTATTACTTGTAGAAGATGGCTAATGGAATAGTTGCCAGGCCTGCGTTTTGCATCTTCAAAATGCAATGAGTATATCTTGCTATTTCTTTTGGAATGAAAACCTTACGCGAGAAACAGGGTGGTTGTTTTTAACCAAAAATACAATGAAGAGAAACTTTGTATAGCTTTTATATGTTAAAATATTTATTTGTTCACCCTTCCGTTCTTGAAATATAAAAGCTGTAGATCATTCTGATAAACATGGAGAATTCAGCTGGATTCAGGAAAGGACTAGGTTAATCAAAATGTCAGTTGACTTATCCAATGACTGAATTCTTTGAATGCAGCAAGTCCTATTTTCTAGGTAAATTTACTTGAACATACAAGCTAAACATCTTTGAAATATTTTGTATTATTATTATAAAAAAAACTTGACTGTAAATTCATGGAGGATGTTCAGCAATGTCTACTAATGATTTCATCACTAAATACATCTTCCAAGTTTTAATGTAGTAGCTGCTTGAAAGTTACAGTAGGAAAGGGAAAAGGCTATTGCCTTCATGGAGGCTTCCATCTGAGCCCTGTATGAACCTACTGCTTTCCGAAAGTGACTGCAGAAGCTCAGCTTGCAAGTTAATCATTGGGGACCATAATGTATTACACAGGGGAGGGGATGCGTGGATGCAGTCCTCTTCAATCTGATGTACATTTCTCCTTTAGTAGCCAGTGAGTTAAAAATATTATTTCATAGTGTTTTAAATTGCTGATTTTGGGTATGGAGTTCTAAAACTGTTCTTTAGTGTCAAAATTTTACATGCCCAGATTTGATAAGTTTCAATGTAGTTTTCTTATGTTAACATCTTTCATGTGTATTTAAATTTCCTATACATAATATTGCTTTTATAGTTGTTTATGATGACAATATATCAGTATTTATATTAAATATTGCTTATATTCTAACTTGTTTGTGGAGTATGTTTTCTGACAAAGGATCATCTGAATACTTGAATAAATTAACAAAAATATGATTGGATGCTGTGAAAAAAGGAAGTGTTTAAATTATGTGATTTTAAACATATAGATGAAAGCAGCAAGTGTTAGTATTTAATGAAGCATATCTGTAATAAGGAAAGTATAGTGATACTTTTTAAAAATAGTTTCAGAAGCAAATTGAGAATATACAACAAGTTGCTTCTGGTGTGAGAGAATTGGCCATCTTTAAGCACATTGCCGAGGAGATGCCCAGATACGTTAAGAGCCGTCGCAAACTAGCCTCCTGCGGGAGCAAACTGTGCCAGCACGTCCCTGACGTCATGAGACTGCGCCTCTCTCTCCGCCCCTTTCTCCGCCTCTTTCTCCGTGCCAGAGTGGTTTTTCCTTTGCTAGGCAGCATTGCCAGCGTTCAACAACGAGAGTACGCTGGCAATGCTGCCCTAGCAAAGGAAAAACCACTCTGGCACGGAGAAAGAGGCAGAGTCTCATGACGTCAGGGACATGCTGGCACAGTTTGCTCCTGCAGGAGGCTAGTTTGCGACGGGTCTAACATCCTGTGGGAGACTTCTCTCCTGTTCCCACATGGGAAGCTGATGTTTACTGAATCTGTTGCACGAGTAGATCCTTTGAGTTGAACTGCTATTCTTACATTACTATTGTTGCACATGGGGAGAAGAATGGCTTTTGTTTCATTTTCTTTAGGATTATATATTGGAAAATTAATTAAAATAGTAAAAATACATTCTGAATTTATTGTCGAAGGCTTTCATGGCAGGAATCACTAGGTTCTTGTGGGTTTTTTCGGGCTATAGAGCCATGTTCTAGAGGCATTTCTCCTGACGTTTCGCCTGCATCTATGGCAAGCATCCTCAGAGGTGTGAGGTCTGTTAGAAGTAGGAAAAATGGGTTTATATATCTGTGCACACCTAACTGCAGCAGGGAAGAGCTCCTTGCCCCACCCCAGCCATTCCACAGATATAGAAACCCATTTTTCCTACTTCCAACAGACCTCACTACCTCTGAGGATGCTTGCCATAGATGCAGGCGAAACGTCAGGAGAAATGCCTCTAGAACATGGCTCTATAGCCCGAAAAAACCCACAAGAACATTCTGAATTGCTTATTCTCAAAGACGACACAGTATTAGATACATTTATCATGCAAATCTTTAAAAATTGACTTAAAATAACTTCTGAATTTAGGTGTTCAGACTGCAGTTTTTAAGGAATTTGTATAATAGGTTCAAGAGCAGTTTCCATAGTGTTTGATGCCTATGAAATGTGGTGTAAAGTTCAATTTGTTATACAGAAGACAATTTGGAACTTTGAACTGACTCCAGCCTCTGTCTTTTATTTCCAGCACCTACAACTTGTTGCTCTGTCGGTCCTGTGACACATGTGTAGGTCTCAAACTGTATTGTTCAGTGTCTCATGCTTATCTAAGAGGCTTCTTCTGCCTTTTTAAGGACAACATCATATGGTTAGTATCCTTCACAAGCATACTAAATCTAGAATTTGGAAAGTTAGTTTTAAGAAGAATGGATTTCAGGGCACGCTGAAGCCACCTGTTGTAATAGTGAAATAATATGAAAGGTTATGAGAAACTTCTCAGAAAGAAATTCATTCTGGCTGATGGCATCCAGTATTTGTGAGCAGTTTTTGTTGTTATGTCAAGTAAAATAGGCTAAAAATAGGGATCCTTTCTGATAAGACAATATCTGTACACATGATGCCGTCAAAAGCAAAACTATAATTTCATATGACTTGCCCTTATGTGGAAAGATTAGGACCAAATTACAGGAAAGAAGATTCTGCCTGAACTTTAGGAGGAACTTCTTGCCTGTGAGAGTTGTTCAACAGTGAAACTCTCTGCCTCAGAGTGTAGTCGAGGCTCCTTCCTTGGAGGCTTTTAAACAGAGGCTAGATGGCCATCTGTCAGGGGTGCTTTGTGTTTTTCCTGCATGGCAAGGGGTTGGACTAGATGGACCATCTGGTCTCTTCCAGCTCTATTATTTATTTACTTATTTATCGTGTCAGGAGCAGACCGAACAGTTGCATTGCATTTTTTAACAAGCAGACAAAATACAAAGTTTGCAAGCATGGTAGTTGATTAAATGTCCTTTGACCAGTATCTGGCCACTTGGAGTGCCTCTGGTGTTGCTGCAAGAAGGTCCTCCATTGTGCATGTAGCAAGGCTCAGGTTGCATTGCAGCAGGTGGTCAGTGGTTTGCTCTTCTCCACACTCGCATGTCGTGGATTACACTTTGTTGCCCCATTTCTTAAGGTTGGCTCTGCATCTCGTAGTGCCAGAGTGCAGTCTGTTCAACGCCTTCCAAGTCGTCCAGTTTTCTGTGTGCCCAGGAGGGAGTCTCTCATTTGGCATCAGCCATTGTTTGAGGTTCTGGGTTTGAGCCTGCCACTGTTGGACTCTCGCTTGCTGAGGTGTTCCAGCGAGTGTCTCTGTAGATCTTAGAAAACTATTTCTTGATTTAAGTCGTTGACGTGCTGGCTGATATCCAAACAGGGATGAGCTGGATTATTAATTATTATTAATTCTATGATTATTAATAGTCTCAATTTGGTCTGGATATTTAGATGTGAGGACTTTCTCTTGCAGCAGTAAACGGAAAATAATGAGGATGTGAAATAATCAAAAATGCTATGATTGCTGAAAGGAACATAGGCCTATACTACAAGAATAATCCCCCTTCTGTATCACCTGCTGCTTTTTGCATGTTCCCAAATGTCTAGTGCAGATATGGGCAAACCTTGGCCCTCCAGGTGTCTTCAACTCCCACAATTCCTAACAGCTGAATTGTGGGAGTTAAAGTCCAAGACACCTGGAGGGCCAAAGTTTGTCCATGTCTGGCCTAGTGGGTCTTTTTTTAAGCTAGTGTAGCAGAGTTTTGGGGATTGTGAGATCTGTAGAGGAGGGAAAATTCTCTCCTACAATAAATTTTGATCGAAGCTGATCATTGTCAGGAGGGATTCAATAACCCCAATATACATTAATTTGAAATTGTTATTGTTTTACTATGAAAAATGTATTTTCTTGTCTTAGTTACTTAGTAAAGACTAAAACCACCGTTGAAGCTTCAAAAATGACCTGTCCTCAAATCAGCTTAAAGGAACATGTAGAAAAGGTAAACTTTCTTCTGCTTTTTGAGTTTTTTAAATAAATGTGTCTGTTAGAATTTATATTTTGCTTTGGCACAGAGAAATAGAACAGAGGTTTCCAGAGGCTGGATAATAGTCTGTCGGGAGTGTATTCCTGCATGGCAAGAGATTGTACTGGATTGCCCTTGTGACCTTTTGCAACTCTGATTATATGTTGATGACCAGGGTTCTTAGAAATTTCTCATTCATAAGATCACCATAACGGTTTGCCAGAACCCTTGTTTCACTGGTCAGTCCCACCATGTATGAAGACAGGACCCTACCAAAGCAGCTTCTCCAGAATTGTTATTATTCGTTTTAATCTTAAAAGTACCACAGTATTCCTTTCTTTTTCTTCCTTGAAGAAGTAGGCTGTTGGGTGACAAAAGCTTGTGCTGAAATAAATTGGTTAGTTCTACGGGTGCCAGAAGACTAGCAGGGATCCATTTGCACCATGGGACTTTCCTATTTATTAACTACTGCAGGTTCTTATGCATCCTGAAAAATGGAAAAATGAGGGCAAGGAACTTGGTTTGGGTCTCAGAAACTATGGGGAGATTCAACAAATACTAGGCAAGACACTCTATGGGCATATCTGGTTTAAGGCCTTTTTTTAAAATTATAAACAAGGTCCAGAGTAGAAATCTAAAGAAAATGTAATATAAGCAACAGTATTTATAGCCAAATCATGGACCTGTACTGACCTTAATCTGATTGAAATGAGAGTTGCAGCACTGTGACTCTTTCCTGTGCCACATGGGCATTAATTGGGAGAAGGGTGGCAGGTCTTTTTTTCCATGCCATTTTTGCTTCATTTGTGGAAGGGGCAACTCAGCTTCAGGAAATCAAGTGCATCACTAATTCTTCCCATGCATTTGGAGACTTTTGACATAATGGAAGTAGTTGTGAGAAAGTGTGTGCCATAGGAAGTGCCACGTTGCTTGGGAAAGTGTTGGAAAAGTATCTAAAGCAAGGGTGAGCGTTTTCAGATGCCTTTCCTACTGATCTTCATACAGTAGCCTTTGTGTCCTCTGCACCTCTATAGTTCTTTGTTTTTTAGTTAGAACTCGCTATGCGTTATGTTTTGCACTTTTTATTTTAAAATTATATTATTAATATTATTCATGCTTCCATCCTCTGGAATCTGATTCCAAAGGAGACTGAGCTGCCCCCCTCTCCATATTGTCATTTCACCAACAGACAAAGATATTTTTTATTCAAGTAGACTTTTATCTGGGAAGTTTTTTATGGGATACACTGGACCCTTACTATCTATTGGGGTTTGGTTACAGGACAGACCCCCACTTCACCCCAATGGATACCAAAATCGGTGGATGCTTTGATCCCATTATAGTGGCATAATAAAATGGTGTCACTTATATAAAATGGCAATATCAAGGATTTTGTATCCCTGTGTCAATATGTAAAAGCCATGGATAGTTGAATCTTTGCATATGGAGGGCTGACTATTTAATGAATATTATTTGAATATGAATATTATTTTTTTTTTGTTTATCTTTAAAATGTTTTAGGCTGTTTTATGTAGCTTTAGTATGAATATTTTAACTGATTGTTTTTGGGACTTGAACTAGGTCCCAGTCTGAAAGAAAGGCAGCAAATAAGTGCAATACCTAAATAAATATTTTTTTTTAAAAAAAGAAGTAATAACATAACTTCCTTGTTTTTGTTAATATAAATATTTGTTAAGTAAAAATTGTTTTTTAAAAGTTCCAGACAGCATTTTGAATATTTTTCTAATTCTTAACAGAACAATTATTTTATTAGGAATTGTTTAACTCATATTTTGTGTTACTCATTTTACTTAAATATCACTGTTTAAACTTCTTTTGAAGTTGAAAGAAAGACTTGTAGTAGTACACACACGTATAGAATTGCTGATGGAGAAACTGGAAGGATTAAACCAGCAGAAAACAAAGGCAGAGAATCAAGACTCTCACGGAAGACGACATAACCAAATACCTGCATGTAAAAGGAAGAAGTCAAACAATTAATCAGTTGCATTTCTACAGTAATATCTTAGTTGTGACAAACATGAGTGTTTGAAAGGAACTTCATACAACTTCGATTTTGAATGCAATTGAAAATGGCATTTGAAAACGGACCTGCAGTTGAATTTTCACTTGTTTCTTTTATTTACTGAGCACTCAAGTGCCTTAATTGGTTGAATATGAACAACATGTGAGTGTATGGATGCCTTCAGCATACATTCACAGAAACATGGTTATCCTTCTGTTTTATGACTGCATCTATATAAATGACTGCATCTGTATAAATAAAAACCTTAAATCTCCCAAAATACTTCACCGATTGCTTTAAAAATCTGACACAACGTAGCATTCTAATAGGCACATGTTTTTATGTTTTCACATACCTGTTACATTGATGTCACACCTGTGACAGGTAAGAATTGTTTTTTTCAAAAACAGCGCCATCTGTCGGATGTCAAACAACACACCCAATACTACATATTTTACAAGTCTGTTTCAGTCTATCCGAATGCATTGTTACATAGACTTCGAATTAGTTACATTTTGATTTTATTGTGTTGGAATTGAGATGTGATATTTACCACAGCATTCATTTCATGAGTATAGTTTATTGTGGTCCATTGGTTCGGCCCTGCTTACTCTGCCTTGAAAGGGGCGGGATTGTGCAGGGTCGGGCATCAGGACCACACTTTTGCCTTCCCCCTCAATGCTGCTACTCTGCCTCAGTCCGAAGTTGTGCCCAAAGGAGAGGAAGCACACCTCGGCCACTCACCCACTCAGTCAGGCCTCTTTGGACAGGTAAGGCAGACCTCGCCTCTTGGACACTGTTTATTTGGCTGCATAGGCATGCGCATCACACCTCCTCTGTTGGGTTTCCCTAATTCCAGTGCCCTCCCCCCTTTTTAAAAAGCCCTCACTGTCAATCATTGTCTCATCTGAGGGGGGGAGTGGGACCTCCTCCTTCCCTCTTCCAATGCCATCCCCCACCTCAGGAATGCTGCTGTATTTTATTATTTACTTCATTGAGGCTCCCTTGGGCACCCTGGGTCTTTCTTTAAGCTCCTACCACACAGCTGTATATGATCCACATTGAACTGGGTTACATGGCGGTCTGGACTCAGATTACTCAGTTCAAAGAAGGCATTGTAGATGATCTGCCTTAATGTTCTGGTTATATGGCTCTAAGGAAGGGCCCTACGCCTATAATCCAGTACAAAGATTGTGGATTATCTGCCTTGATATTCCGAGTTGAAGATGTCCTCATTCCTCGCATTCCTATGATTCCAACAGATATGCCATTTCTATTTAAGAGATGGCCATTCCCAATTCGATTGGCATTTGCAGTCTGCCTGAACAAAGCTCAGGGTTCAGATCTAGACAAGGATTACTACTCACATGGACAATTATACGTTGGGTATTATACAGTCGGTAAACCAGACAATCTCTATATCTGCACAGACAATGGAACAACGATAAATATTGTATACCTACAAGTATTCTGAAATTAAATATATTAGAAACCTGCTCTTTCTCTTTTTTCTTTCTTTTACATTTAACCAGGCTGGGCCACAGCAGAAAGAAAATATGCCACAGGTGAACAGTAAAGAGCAACTAGTTTACTCTTCTTAGTTCAGAACAACATATGTACAATATGATCAGTTGCATCAACTCACTAAATGTCCTTTCCTGCGAGATTTAAAATTGTCCTTTTTGTATCCATATGAGAGACCCTTCTTTTCAGCAGCCAAGAAGCAAATCAGTCTTTCTCTCTCTGGTTCTCTTCTTTGCACCTGCATCTGCTCGAGCCTGAACAAAAAATGCAAGTGTCCAAAAGTTCCAGGCTCAGCCATCACCCTGTGCTTGCCCAATCAATCAGCTTCATGCATTTTATTTTACAGTTGACACACTCACTGATTCCTTGCATTCTCCAGCAACTTCTATGCTAAACCAGATCTTTTGAAAGGGGGTGTGCAGTTTAGAAGGTGGGGCAGAGGAATGGCCTTTGAACCTGTTGAAATGGCCAATTCCAGTTGCTTTGTCAGAAATAAATTTAAAATTGGCACATGCACTTTCTTGACCCTGAGATCATCTGGTCTCCATTTTTTAGGTGAAAGCAGTTAGGATTCTACTTCAGTGAAACAGAGGCATTAATTTAGAAACCAGTTATGTTAAAAAAAATAGCCTTTCTTAATTTGCTTAATGATGTTGATTGTGTGTCTCTAAATTGTTCCCAGCATATGGCAACCCTAAGGTGAACCTATCATGGGATTTTCTTTCCCAGAAACGGGGTGTGACTCCTGCTAGGTCACCCATTGGGCTTCCATGGCTGAGCAGGAATTCAAACCCTGGCCTTCAGAGTCCTGCCCAATGCAGAAACCCAATACACCACTCTAGGATTAAAAGAGATTTTTAAAATAGTGCCTGCAAGAATGACAGACGGATAGTTGCTTCGGGGAAAGAAAGTTTTGCCCATGTGAGTCAGCTGTCCTGAAGACTAATGTCATTTGTGCAAAAATGCTTGCTTAATTCTCAAAAATGATTGCTTAATTTTCACTTCTAAGGAAGTGTGTGATTAATGCAATTGATCTCAGCTGCTGTGGAGTGCATTGCTCCACAAGGAAGGAACTGTCCATTTGCACCCAAACTACTTGATGGATGTACCAGGCTAAAAACCCTCTAGTACCTAAGTGATGTGCATTGGGATTTTGAAATAAGCCATCCTTATCATCATGGGATTTAGCCCTGAACAAATCTGCAGGGAATGTGATACTTTTTGCAAATGAATGTCTTTCACAGTTGGGATTAGATTATAACTCAGCAGTGAGCAACTGTAGTGGGTTCGGTGGTCAATTTTTACCTCCTTGGGTTGCATTTTCCCATACATTGGCTGCCAGTGAAATTTTGCACTTTAGGAAGGGATGAAAACTTTTCACCTCCGTATGTCTAACTTTGCTGTTGGAAAGAGTTTAGATAAGCTTAGAGTTTTTTTTTGGGGGGGGGGGGGGGTCAAATGGTGTTTGCAAAAAGGTTTCCTTCACTTTAAATTACACCATTACACAGGTAGGTGTTGTAAATAGGGATTACCTAACATGGCAAACTGTGTGATAGCACTATAAAACGCACTGACCGTGCCCATGGTCCTAAGAAGCTTCTCACAGTATTTTTACTTGTAAAAGGTGCACTGAGATCAAATATTGCCTTCCTTTTCTGTTCCTTTCGAGGGGGGAGGGTGAGAAGACCATTTAAAAAAACTGTTTTCCTTTACTGGAATGCTTAGGTAGTTTTTTTTTCCTGTAAGTGTCTTTACACTGCCCAGTAATAGAGGAATCTTTGGTAGGTTGTAGTGTATCTTATCTGAGATGGGTTTTGTGGGGTGAGGATGAGATGCTGGTATAATGACAAGTCTTTCTCAAACAGTGGTTCTAGCAGACAACCCCATCCATGAAGTACTTTTAAACTAAGCCAGGCCATTTTTTATGTTTAATCTACTCTGTCAACAGTTTCCGAAAATCAGGCTTCAGTACTGTTTTCCAGAGGTATCTGAGTTTATACTTAGCACTTTTATAAATCATAGTTCCTCGTATTTATCATGTATCCAGTTTAAGACCTTAAATCTAGGAGAACCTGGCAGCTTTAAAGGATCCTGCTTGGATGCTCACCTCCTGAACACTAAGTTTGTCTTGAAGTGGGGAGGTAAAAGTGATTTACATTGGTGCTGGGGCTTCATTAGTTGGCAAAACTGCTCTGTGAGTTGCCAACAATTGAATAACTATCTGTGGAGAGTCACCACAATTCTATTAAATCTATTAAAGTTCCAACTATCAATATAATTCAGTCCTAGATGTTGTTGCACAATAATTTTACATAGCCTCAAATAGCATACCCAATTTTTAGAAATCTTGGGAACTAGTCCAATATCTAGGGCCATATAAGTCCAACCTCTGTGCTAAGGCAAGTAACTTTGAGTGTAAAACAGGTGGGGAGAGGATTCATACAACTTACAGTAATAATAGAGGTATCAAATAACATCTAATATTGCATTCTTCAAAGGTCTCCTGATGCAATAATACTATAGAATTGCACCAAATAACATGTTTTATTGGATGAGGATAAATGAAACCACAGATAGTGGTTGTGCAGATATGATGGTCATACTGTAATTACAATAAACTTTGTATCTCATAGCCTAGACTTGGATGCCAGTCACAACACAACAGTTTTCTCTCCAATGCCATTTGTTACTGTATTTGTATATGTTTTTTAAACTGAGATTGTTTTTAAAATGCTGTAAACCGCAATTGAGTCGCCGTTCTAGGCTGAGAAATTAGCGGTATACAAGTGTACCAAATAAATAAATGAATAAATAAATAAAATTGGGCTACATTGCCAACAATGGAAAGTAAATGAGATAGAAGTAGAATGTTTTCTTTAGCTTTTAAGAGAAAAACTAAAGAAAATCTAGGGTAAACAGATCACAACCCCATGCAGTTTAGACTTGCTGGGACTCTGAAATTGTGTTGAAGGGATGAGATATCTATTAAAATGGTCTTCTGCAAGAGCTTTATGAACCCAGATGCATTCCTCGTGGCTCCTGTTGCCTTGATAGGTGATACTTATGAAGTTCTATCCAATCTCTAGATTGGAGAAATGGCCCAGGCGGTGGACAAAATTGCTCTTGAGCATCCCTTCACAAAATCAAGCCAGACTGCCCCCCACTTTTCCAGGGAACTGGTGGTAATGAAGCAAACAAAACTGACTGGAGCAACATTGGTAGAAAAAGTGCACCCAAGACTGGCTAAAGCTCATCTAAGGGCCTACTCAGTGGCAACAGAGGCAACAAAGGTAAATATATTCTCTGCCTCTATTACATCTGCAGAGAACCAGCCAGCAGAGCTGTTTCAAATAGCAATATTTTACACACAAGCCTAAGAGAGGAAAATCCAGATTGCTCTTACCCCATAAATTCAACTCCTTTATTTCAAGTTGAAACATGTTTTTCCAATCTACACTGTATTAACAAATAAAACAAAAAACACTAGGAAATTATCCAGGTTGAAAGATTTTATTCAGACTGATGGAATACAAGAGGTCTGACAAGGCACAACTGTTGATTATATCTACAGAGCCAAAGAATGAAGCTTATTTTAAAATAAGCACATCTAACACCTTGGTATTAACGACAGCTGTTCTTCTCTTTACAAATTTCCATGTTACATTGTGGTCAGAATCCCAAAACATTCTGTCCAAGAGAGATCATTCACTTGTGTTTCCTAAGGGATTACAATTTAATTATTGGACTGAAAATATA